TTATGTACAGATAACCTGGTATAGAGACATACTGCTAAAACATTTTATTTCGTGGAGGATTATTTTCGTTGTTTTTGTGGTATCTCTTAGTGACATTTAATCATTGGCAATCTCTTCGATAACCTTTTTTTTTGTTTTCATACGAATCTGATTTTGTCGAGAGGTTCATCAGAACATACAATTGAGACTTTTTCAGAAAATATCTTCATGTTGGTAATTTCAATAGAATAGAAGCTTTTGTAACACAACCAGTCGATAAGATGGAGGTCACTGTAATCTTCTACTGGTTGTGTTATGATACATTTTTTTATATTAATGCAACAGAGAGATTGATAAGTCTTTAATTGTTCGGTGACTTGATAATGTGTTTAGACTAAAAATAAATTTATCATATCGTTTATTTCATATACCTTCATGAACTCAGAACAATGTAGATTCATCGGTTGACCATGACATTAAGTTACCTACAACACGAAAAAAAGGGTAAAATTTTAGGTAAACCGTGAAAATATAGACGATCAAAAAGACTTTAACTATGTAGTAAAATCATTGAATTAAACCGCATCATACAACTGCTTCCTCTTTCTAAGACACATCAGTGATGCTGGGGATCTATAGCAAATGGCTTCAGATATATATATTCTGTACATATGTACATAAGAAACCTACGTCATAACTCACCAACAAATTGTGGTTGACAATCTAACGAGCGTTAAATCTATTTTCAGGTTTATCTGTCTGAAGGTGTTCCGTTTGCCAACAAGGAATGTGCATAGTTGCACTTCTTTCGACACTGTCTTTCAAATTGATAATAAAATAAATGTTTCTGGCTTTAGTTTAGAAAAATCTCCTTGTGCACCTGTCGTTTGGAACAGAATCAAAACATACTATTTGTCTACAATGCTTACAAAACAATTCTGGACGTACACTTACTATGGATAAGGAAGAATGCTTAAAGCAAATTTGTACAGACAGAGATTGATTTATCAAAAATCACTATTTCCAATATGTTTTCATTTTGGTTTCTTTTTGTTTCCTTTATGTAAGATTTTCCCTCACACCTAAAATGTACATTACACATTAGAACAAATACATTTATACAGACATAACCTGACGTTCTGCTGTAGTTATCAGACATGAAATTTACTGAATTATGACACTATTTAACCTCCCTATCTTGATTTTGAAATTTCTTTCAATCATTTTGGGGTTCCCTATGTCAGTCGCCTCTTATGTTTAAAATGTTGACAGTAAACATCACCGGCGAGCCATATAAAGGCAAAATAGCTTTATGATACAGTTTAATTAATTAATTTGCTCAACTGTATCTTATCAGCATTTACATCAAAAGGCGCTGTTTACTTTTATGTCTTTTTACAATCATCAATATCATTAATAATTGAAGTAAATAAATTTTTAAGTAAACTATTGAACTATATATCGCTTGATTAATGAAATTAAAATACAAACGAAGTAAAATAGCATTTATAAATAAGACTGTTCTAAGTTTCAGATTATTTTCTAAGTTTTGTATAGGCGTTATCAAGAGACTTGGGGGTAATGTATTCACGATATTGCAATAAAACAATAAAATACATCAAACGTTTAAAAATTGAAATACAGAAGTACTGATCCAATTTAATAGAACTTGTCCAAGGAGTCCGAGTGACTAGAGCGAACACCAAGCGATTTTCCTGTTCTAGTATCCCCACTTCGAGGTAAAACAAACATTGGCTCTACTACTAATATTTGATATCGGTTCTATTGTATCCGTACATGGCGATAATGGCGTATTAGGTAGATCAAAACGCCTTCCCTGTACAAAGCCGTGTCTACTCAAACCTTAATCCAAATACCCAGAGAAATTAGGACAGAGAAGAAAGTATACTCTGCTTTAATTGCCTGTGATAGACGTTAATGTGTTTAACCATCACAGAATAAATACGAAAAAATCCTTATAAGATACATGTATTTAAAGAGAAACATTTACCCGCAGTGTCTTGTTAGAAAATATTTGAATAATTTTATTTATTAATGAAAGAACTGTTTCTTTGTCAGGATGAAAAAATCCTATTTAAGATAAATCCAACAGTCGAAAGGAGACATACCTAAATACCTATATGATATAGTTAAATGGTTCTCAACTCTGAAAGGGTTTACCTAACCCTTGTTCAAGATTTTAAAAAATGAAATAATTCAATAGTGCCTTATTACAGAAAAGTATGTTATGAATAAAACTGATATGGAATAGATCAAGACAACAAAACAGAAATATCAAAGGCAACAGTCCTTATGATCCTCCAGAGCCTGGTGCAGAGTTATAAGAAAGATAGGACACTTGAGATAACAACGAGAGTCGACTTAAGTATGCTATTTCCACAGATGTTCACAATACAATACACGACAAAGACTGTACAAAAGACACACAAGTGAATAGCTACTTTCAATACAACTTTAGAGTTAGATACAGCAGAGCCAAACAATGAAGTAAACTGCATCATACAGTTGTTTCGTCCTTCTAGGACTCGTCGGCAAGGCTAAGGGCCTCGATTTTGAAGCCTCGGAGGCGATTAAGAAAACCAGAAGTGATTAAATGAGACAGGGACGTTTTTAAGATAAAATATCTTACTATAATGCACGATATTCTATTTCCCTATAAGGGTATAGCATGTTTCATGATAAAGGTACTAGCGCGCATTTTTCTTAATAGAATAATCAGATTTGATTTTTATAATTAATTGACAAGTACAGCTTTAAAGGACAGTAAAAACGAATTTCTTTATGAGATATTTTTGCTCTATTTCATACCTTTTGTATTTAACATTGTGACACTAGATTTTCTTCTGGTTACACAACCTTACTCCATATCCAACTGTCTTGTACAGGAGATGTTGTTCCTAAACTGATCATGGTGAAGAATTAAAAAAGTGAGGAGCTTTATTTTGTCGGATAAAAAGATATCCTGAATATACGAGTAACAGCATTTAAACTAATGTTTCATGATATCCATGAAAAAAAAACCAAACAAAATAAGAAAACAAAAAAACAACATCCCTCTCTCTATTTCTGGAGTCAAAGAAAGAAACTAGTTCGGTGATATGTAGTATCTTACGTATGGTATCTGTCAACGTGAACTGTTACAAGTATCGTAAGTGGTCTTTTTATTGCACCATGTAACGTGCACTCTCTGTATTATCTGGCTTGTTTCAAGTGGGTATAAATGAACCACCAGACAGCTGACTACAGTAAAGCCGACAGAGTCTGTTTGACGTAAAGCCAGACGGCCAACTAAACTATTGACCGCTGACACTACCTTACCTTACAATATATAGAGTCACACCTACACAACTTGACCGTGGTAGCATAAATCGTGCCCAGAATCAAAGGAGCTTTCGATTCTTTTTCATCTATCTCTTTGATGTTCTAGACAGAGTGTGTCGCCATTGTACTTTGTTTTGCTAATTGTGACGTATGTCACTGCTTTTTGTTACGAACGACATTTCATTCTGTTAAATATAACGCCAATTTTTAAAGTGACAGATTCCATTTTATTACATGTGTCATTACCAACTGTAACACATATCATTGCTATTAACGGTCGATGTGATTGCAAATTGTTATCTATCACATGTTTGCTCTGTTTTTCCGTGCATATGCCCATGTAATATTTTTTGCCTATTAAACATGTATAATATAACCACGACTCCGTGATATAACCTATTGTGACGTCAGATTTAGATAATGAAATGACGTCACACAGTCACTTATCGCATCCTGACTTAATTTTGATATAGAGGCGAAATGTTTAGGTCCGTTTTCTACAATTTTTGCCTCAATGACATGTCATATGATTGGAAAGATCTTACATATTTGATTCCGCTTAATGTCGAATAAAATACATTAAAACTTTCTTAGAATTGTTCCAGAACTAACGTAGCAAATGGAAACTCAAGTAACGTCATTTAAATGTCGATAAAGTGATGTTATAACTACTAACTTTGACACATGTCAATGGTTACTGCGACAAGGTTGATTACTCTGTGACCAATCATATGTCATCTTTCTGCATTTCTTACTACAACACACGTCTTTAGTTCCTTCGACACAAGTCACTGTATTATGTGACACACAAAATACGTGTCCCTCTACAAAAGAAGTAATTTCTACACAATGTGCCACGACACAAACTGACTAATGGGTATCTTTGATTAGGGTTTTGGGAATGTTGTTTTCTTAAACGACAGTAGATATTCTGTTGTCACCAGAATTGAGATCAGTTTCCGGGAAACTGCGGCCAAATAGACGGCAACATTGCTAATCGAATACCCATTTGGGTGATCAAAAATTGAATGTGCCTCCCTGGTTATACAAGATAGCAACATGTCAATAAAATCATAACCCAAACTTAAATTCAATAAAATTTGGGGGACAAAATATGAACAATGGAAAAAATTACAGGGAGAATCCTAAAAAGAACAAGGAAAATAAGACCTGATGTTCCGGAAGAGCAAGCGTCGTGTGCTTTATCAACAACACCCGTCTTGCAAATCTTGGTCAATCCACATAGTAATGTCACGTCCTCAAATGAGAACAAACAAACTGTACGACAACGGAACCAATAGGAAAACTATCGAACAACAAACACGTCCAGCTTCATAACGTATGAAGAAACATAATATTTCTAAATAAGATCACTATGACGACCCCGAAGTTTGCATTTTGACATCAATAGGTGTTCGGTGTTTCATTAGGTCATATAAGTATTCTAACATATACAATCTTTCTAATTTGAAGCACTTACCGCTCTCTGCAATAAAAATGGCAGGGGCTAGCTAAAAATGCTCACGTATTATAACGATCCATTGTTTCTTTTAGTGTTGTCATATGAACTAATAAAAATAATGAAATAAAACCAATGTCATTTCTTTCGCCCTTGAATATTTATAACAGGAGGTAGTTGTAATAGCATTTTATCAATGACCCCTTTTCTTGTTTTACAGATCCATGTGTTGAAGGTCAATACACAATAATTGATGACGTCAGACGTCGTCCGGTCTTTAACCCTGGTCAATTGTGTGATGATAATCTGTCACCCGGATGGTACAGGTTTCTACTCAACGGGACTGAGGCGGAAATTCCAACAGCATGCGTTGAGGTAACTATCCACAGATAGTTCACTGACTGTCGTTCAATAACTGAACACTTCAACAGTATATTGGGTATTCATACAACACTGGCTGTTAGTTTGTCTTTTTGCGCCCGTCCTAAGCTCCTTGCAGAATAAGCAGAGTCAAATTTGTTCTATACTACTAACGCAGATCCATGGACCTAGGTCTTTTCCCTTTCCTTAAGTTAAATTTGACCGTGCGAAGAATAGGCAGATTTAGAGTCAAATTTGCTCTACACTACTAATACAGAATCATGGACATATGTGTCTTTTCCCTTTGACTGTGCGAAGTAATTTGTGATAAGTAAAGATGCTAATATTACACTATGTTTAGTCGGACCTCCACTGAAATGACCTCGAATCAAGAACTCAAGAACTATTCAATGAGTACATTGTATAATGTTCTTCAATCTCGACTATTTTACTTTCGATTCATAGCGTGAATAAATCCAGGAAGCCTCTTGGTTCTTCTCCTGAAACAATAAACATCAAGAAAATGCCAGCTTGTCAACATAATCATAATCCAAACTCAAATTCAATAAAATTAGGACAAAATATTAGCAAAAGAATGATAGACCCCTGAAACAGTACAAGGAGTATGAGGCCAGGTGTTCCGTAAGAGAAAGACACTTCTGCTTCACGGATGACACCCGTCATGCAAAACTTGGTCAATCCAAGTACGTAATGTCAGGTTCTCAAATGAGAATAAGGTATACAACAACGGAACTAACAAGCGGTTTATTTGTGACTTAAGCCAGGTATTATGAGTTACAACCAGATGCAAAACTTTGATTTAAAATCAACCATCTCTGTTAGTTTTCATAATTTCGCTTACCTTTGACCGAAGACTGTGTCTCTACTTGCTAATTTCATTTACAAAGCTATTGATTTGAGATTCATATTGTAATTTTAGTTGGGTTGTATCTCTAAAATCGCAAACTTTCAAGCACCATATCTTTTCTGAAGACTTTCTGCTAGTGTAAATATCAATGGTGTGTTAAAAAACTATTTGATATTAATGATTTGCTGTATCGATTTCTACACATAGTATGGTGTGACATTATTTTTGATTTGAATAGGATGTTTGAAGTTTCTGCGATCGAAGAATTTAACGGTGCCGAAGCTGTTTTAATCAGATATAGCCAGCTAGCGTGGGTATTTAGTGCAAATAATAGTTTTTGCATGAAATGTAAATGTTGATAAGGCAGCATTTGTCATTTAAAGAATCAATACTATATTGACTTTGCGGACAAAGTTGTATAGACTGAAAATTCTTTGATTGGATTCGCTCACTGTATATAATTAATAACCCTCATAGTCTTCAAAATTCAGACCCTTAACATCACTGACGAGTCCTAGAAGGACAAAACAGCTGTATGTTGCTATTTATTTCATTGTTTGGGTCTACTGTATCCAATTCTAACTTTGTATTAAAAGGTGCTGTTCACATATGTGTCTTTTATACAATTTCTTTCTATCTAGGTCGAAATCAACTAAACAGTCGCATAACAAACTGCCATGTAAATCAGTGACGACCTAATGAAACACAAATATTCAGACTCCCCATTAACTATCTATAAAAACGTGTAATACCTTGGTCACACTAGCTTGGCATCATCTACTTTAAACAATTTTTTGTGGTATGAAGAGGGCATGTTTGATGTTCGTTACAATGCCTGGTACTGTTTTATACCGTTATGTCTTTTGGAAGCATAGCGTTACTTACTTGGATTGGTCGAAATAAGCATAGCGAGTGTCTTCGATGAAGAAGACACTTCCCCTTCCGGAACATCCGTTCTTATTTTTCATGTATCATTTCAGGAGACTCCGTGTATTTTTGTTGTTAATATTTCCCCCTAACTTCATCAAATCTTAGTTTGAATGAAGATTCTGTAGATATGTACTAATTTTAGTAAAATATTGCGAGACCGATTTTTCGGCTACTACGATATAATTCTATTTTATCTTATTTCAGAGTAAAAGCTGCGGTACATTTGCACCGGTATGGCTACGACTTCCGGCCGAAGGTTTACCACTTCCGGGCCAAACAGGAAATGGTGAAGGCTGTGCTAATTATGAAGGATGCTGTGCCTTTTCCTTCCCGATAGTGATAAAAAATTGTAGAGATTTTTTTATTTATAGATTCGACTGGATATACGGCTGTCCTGTCGCCTATTGTGCTTATAGTAAGTTTTTGATTTTGAAATGACAGTAACTTTTAAAAGCAATTTGTTTACATTAACAAAATGTTAATAATGCTCTTCATCTTGGTTTAAATTTCACCCATGGATGGAACCAGGGAGCAATATGTTGGAAAGATCAACACACTATAAAATGTTTTAGTGTCGGCAATTAATGTTTTATCATCATAACTTATCCTCTTATTGTACAAGCACGTTACGCTCGTTTCTTTATACATTCTTTCATGATACAGGATTATATATATACATTTATGTAAAAATCGTTGGGTATAGATTCTAAAGCAGTTATCTGCTTTACTTGATAAAAAGAATTGTTACTGCTGTATGTGGACGTTTATGTTTGTGAGGCGCGTTAAATCCGATAAAACATACATTGGTTTCACATCATATAAAAATGTTTTGGTTTCAGCTCCTTTAACAACTTGTTCTCAAGGACAAATCTATATACGTCATCTGCATCGCTGTATTGGTAAGTTTAACAAGTATGATTTGGCGTCATTCACTAGGAACTTGTTGACTGAATAAAAACTCTGTCAATAACACACCCCGCTTTAATTATAGCAGAGACGTACATTTGTAACTAAATTTCCTGTGTTTTTGTACAATTTATTGAAACATATATTTTCACGTATCACGTGATTACTTTCCATATTATAGATTGAGTAACTCGAAATATGTTCTAAGTCGGTCACATGTCATCTTCTACAACTAAGTAGCCAGTGACGCATTAATGAATTCCAAAATTTTTATAATGTTACGATTATGACCTCCCAGACGCGGTAATCAATTACCATGTTAATGATTATAAATTTTCTTTGAACCCATGAGCAAAAGGGTGATTGAAGAATGTGTTAGTAGGAAATCTACCGAAATAACGCGCAGCTTAATTTTCAAAAGCACCAAACACTTCAGCAAATGTTTCAAGGGCTACACGTGCACTACATCTGACCTACAGGCGACACGCCACGAAAATGGCGGTAACCATCGAAATCTAAAACCGCTTACTTAATACCTACTTGTACGATGCTATTACATATTTTGCTTTCCCTCCAACCCAGAATTTGAAATAGCGTCTCCCGCGATTTTTATGCCCTGCACGTTTGTCGAGGATGCTTACGGCGAATCCAGAACTTGGAGAAAATGCGTTATTAGTTAAATAGTGTTTCGTAAGGAAAAAGCTTTAAATGCTAAATTGTTTACATATCTGCAGTTTGAATTTGCATGTTTTAAAACCAAAATCTTGAATCCGAAAAGACATCTTTCCCAAGAAAGTCATTAACTGAACTAAATAGAACAATTCGAAAAAATCTTTTCAAGAAACTTTTTACCTTTTTCCAGATCACATTGTGGAAATCACAAAACCTGTTATACGTGTAAGAGTGAAAGGTAGTTCTATAACTTTAAATTGTACATTCCACATTCCTAATGACGTCATCGCTTCCACGTCACCAACATTCCATGTCGTTTGGTACAAAGGAGAGAGGGGATTATCATCAGTAATACGAAAAACATTCCGAACGGAAACTAGTGATACAATAAGAGTAGGAAATGACGTATTCGCGGGCAGAACGGTGAGTTACGAAAATTGTAATAATTTCTAAATTAAGACGAATCCCATATGATTTGGTTGTCTTAGATGTCAATGACGTATAAGGTCGTACTCTATATTCGTGATGTTTAATGAGTTCTTTCAGCAATGGTTACTGCCAAACAATAACTATATAGTATAGTATTTATCCTGAGCAGATGTCACGTAGTGGCTTATCAACTATTCATTAATTCGACAATCTGCTATTCAAGAATTCCTTTTTTCTTCGGAAATTTTAAGAATAGTTCCAATATTTTGTTCATCAAACAATGATTGTGGGTTTATTGCTATCTGAAGATGTATAACACAATGAAAGCTGTGAGAAGTTAATGTAAGTTTTATCGCCTACACTTAGATAATGGAGATCTGTGTGCACGTGTTCTATGTAGTCTCATATGAGATAACCAACTCGCGCATATAATCATCGACATCTTAATTAGACGTAATTCGGGTATACACTGTCATTATCTTATCTTTCAGATAACGTGCGCAGTGCAGCCGGTATCCGGAACGCCCTCAGGCGAAATCTCCAGTGACCCCTATTTCTTAGGCGTTAAGGTAGGGTTCGTCTTAACCTGTGTTATGAATCCAGGGAATATTCACTTATATGAAAACTACATCTATTTTTCGTTTGATTTACTTTTTCGAACATTGGATATGATAACTCTCATTTGATGGAGATAGATTGGGTGCGTTGCGGTAGGTCGTGACCTAATTTCATTTGCTTTTTTTACATGATCTTTGATACAATGCACATGTTAAAAAAATTGATACATGTATAAGTGAATTGACCAACAATTTCAGTTCAGAATTAAAACACAAGATACTCACTTGTGTGTTATTTGTACAGGCTTCGAGATTGCAGGTAAAAGACACTGCTGGTGTAAAACTGGTCCCCGAGATTTGCTCAAACCTTTATGCCACTTTTAATTCATTCAACAAGTTGCACGGTTCAGAATATACACACGTACTTGACGTTGTTTTAAAATCTGATTTATCAAAATCAAGAAATTTATTTCAATCTTTCGATCACTTTGGATTTCCCGCAGTCGCCCCCAAGGCTTCAAAATTTAGGCCCTTAGCACCACTGACCAGTCCTAGAAGGACGAAACAGTTGTATGAGGCAGTTCAATTCATTGTTTGGCTCTACTATATCTAAGTCTGAATCTGTATTAACAGGTGCTTTTTACTCGTGTGTCTTTTGTACATTATAGGTGTTATCACCCAGATATTTTTTTCAGAAGCAAAACAGTTTCATATGATTTAACACTGAAATAGTTAAAAGTATTTTGGAGTTATTATTCCTCTCAATCGGGTTTTTATATTTATTTCGACAAGGTTTGATTATTCTTGTTTGCCGCCACGGTTTCAACCACTTAGGTCATTAGCATCCTTTACGAGTCTTACATGTACGATACATCGGCATATATTCATATATTAATTGCATATTATTAAATATTGAAAAAAAACGATCATTATATGTAGCATGTATACTTCTTTTCTGTAAAAATCAATAATGTTAGGATTGATACCGTTTCAGGCTATATATATATATATATATATTGTGATTAATATCGTTCCATGTTAAGTCAAGAGTATGATGTAGTAACTAGATATCGAAACCAAATGTTTGTTAAGAACTTGATAATTTTGGCATCTGGAGATCGGATAAAAGACTTACATGTCGTTTAAACTAAAAACATTACTTTAATGACGTTTTAAATTCTTTGGTTACAGATACAGGAGGGTAACGTGACTCTAACAGAGGACGGCCCCGTTCAGAACCTAACCTGGGTCTCACGGCTGCCTATATTCTGTAACAAACGCCGGAGAAGGAGAGCTAACTCGTGTGGCGCTAATCTCATTTTTAGACTCGACTCTGCAGATGGTATGTCAACTGTTATCTTAACATGGTAGACAACATCTATTTATTGTCACTAAGAGAGTTAAAGTATTCTACACAACTGAAACGTGATACAGGCAGGTATATCTATAGGATAGAAAGTGTTATAACACAACCAGTAGAAGTTTTTTAAGTGTGACGTTTTGATGAATACAAGGTCACCTTCATCAAATAAATGACCCGTAGGAAGTTTACAAGATCGTAAGGAATCGACCAGCTGTTTCATTTGTTCTATAATCCTATGAGATAGAGTAGAAAATAGTGTGAGATAATGGTAAGGAATCGGCCAACTTTTCCGGCTGTATTATAATCCTATGTACACTAGGATCGCAAGTATTGTGATGAGATTGTAAACGAATTATCGAAAAAAGTACACAAAATTGCACCAATATCCTGTTGTTGGTTCGGCTAATCTTTGTTTATCATTTTGTCATGACAAATGAAACGAAATTTAAATAAGACTGACTTATTTTCTTCAATAATAAGCAAATATATGTCTATCTGTACAAGGAACCACATGCTTATTTGTAGGAAAGACTTAGTTTTGAGGTCGGCTTATTTTCGAGATTTTAAGGGTATTTTTTTTCGTGTATCAATATATAAAGCAACTGAGTATCAACATATATGCTATCACATGGAACTTAAGCATTCCCTACCAAAATCAAATACAGATTGTTTAGATATACCTCTTACGGAATTTAGAGTATGCCGATAAAAACATTAGTATAATTCAATAATACATTGTGTGAAGATGGCAACCATTTGCAATAATCGATTAAACATGAATAAATGCTATCGCTTTCTCACATTCATATTACAGGTTCCGGAGAAACCAATTGAAAATGATTTGGTAATGATACCAGTTTAAATTATAGTTGTTTAATTATCCGTATAGTTTGTGATTAACTTATATCAATTAGTGAAGAAACCATAAAGAGAAAATATCGACTTATCAACAAAATCGGAATTAAAACTCAATATCGCTGATGGAAGAAAAGTAAACAAAAAAATATTTCAACACTTTCTTTAATTTGTGTGTTACCTATGTGTGGAATAAGCAATGACATGCGGTAAGTTCTCTGTAAAATCATTTAGTCCATATGTTAACATGTCACTTTACACTAATAGTGGTAAAGGTATGAATATATTACTCTACTGATTTGTGATGCTAAAGGTTCGTATTAGATAATCATCACAGATTAATTATGGAAAGGGACACATTTGTAGGGGAGATCAAGGTGATAAAGGATTTTTACGTACAATTCCACTTGAAAATATAACCTACTTGTGATATAACGGAGCATCATTTTAGATTTCACGCGTGCTTGAAACACAGCTGATAGATTAACACACACAATGAGTTTCAAGGGATGAAGATGATAAAATGATGGGGAACAACAACATATATTTCTATTTTCGTATGCGATATAAACTTGTTTTTTATTTATTTTTATATTGATTTTCAATATTTACATTTTGGTTGGTTTTGACCAATTTTAATTCTAAATAATCGTCTTCTGAGGTTTCAACTGAAATTTAGGCCAATAGCATCACTGATGAATCATAGAATGACGAAATAGCTGTTTAATAAAGTTACTCATTGTTTTCCTCTGCAATATTCAACTCTGAATTTGAAAGCTGATATTCGTTTTTGTGTCTATTGTACAATCTTCGATGAAACAGAAGACGCTTATCCTTTCGGGTCACTACGTCTTATGCTCATTGTACCTTGTTCGTTGGTCACTTTTCCTTTTGGCCATACTTTGACTTCGTTTCATTGACTTGAATTTTGAATTATTATGATGCTGACATTATTTTTCCTATTTTTCAGGAGACGATTTCTCAAAACTTTTATTTTCCTCCTGTAAAATCCCTCTACGGAGAGTTAAACGTTGTCCACGTAACATCTGTGCTGTGGATCAACTCCAAGTCGTTGTTGCTAGGAACCTCTACAATTTGGAGCCGGAAGACTACGATATAACTGGCGACATCTACTTCCAGGATGGGAGACTATGGGAGGGAACTCTATCCAAGACCTATGTAAGATTTTCACTAATGCAATAGCTCCGCGATTAACATTAACGCCTCGGTCTTATGAAGATTGAAGAATTTTAGGTAGTTAATGTCTGTTGTGTAATTAGATTCAGTTGAATTCCCCATTAGACTATACTGTATCGAACTCCTAATTTGATGCTGTTCGCTTGTACGTCTTTTGTACAATCATTAAAAAGGAATAGAGTATTTGGTAGTTTAAATGATTTGAATAAATAAATTTCTACTAAAGGTTGTAACTAATCAATGTCGCTTTTTGTGCATCATCGGCAAGAACGCTGCCTTGATTCTAAAAAATGTTCTAAAAGAACTGTCTATGTATCTGTCTCAGATAACTGTGTATGACCTCCCATCGGCCACGTGCTTTGCTGTGTCCGGAGTCCAGCTTTTAACTTTCAGTTCACGGTAAGTAGCTATATATTGAGGTAGAGGTAAAGATATGAAAATTGTTAAAAATGTCTGTATTCTTTGGAAAACAATTATATATGAATGGATGATATTTGGAGGATTGAAGTATGCTTTTTTTCTAATTTGAGGTAAAAAAGAATAGATTAGTTTGCACTAGCATTCTGATAATCTAGGACAGATCTTGGTATTTACAGGAGAAATATATTTCCTTTTCTGTTTTGATGAATTTTTGCTGTCTATTGTGACCGAAATTATAGTTGATTTTTTAAAATTTTATGTTCATGGGTAAAATAAAACATTGTATATTTAATTTGAATTTCGTAGGAAGGAGCAGATAAGAAGACGTGGAACATATGTTTTGTTTCAAAGTTTTGATAGTAACATAGAGGTAAGTAGGACTCAATACAGACTGTAATAGTAACGTATACTCACATGTCATATAAACTATACCTGGAACTGAGTAATTATTCAAAATTACATTATTAAGACTTGGTTTGTTAAGACTTTATCAAACACGTGATATATGGTTTGTTATGTCATTAAAATGCATTTCCAATTTCCCACCACGTTTAGACACTCGGGCGACCCCGTGTTATAAAAAAAAAAAATAATAAATAAATAAAAAAAAATAAGATAAAGAGAACGCCAACATGCCAACAGCATCATAAATGCAAATTCAATAACACTAGGGCAAAATATCAACAAAAGAAAGATTTACCACATACTCCTGAAACAGTACAAGAAGAATAAGACCATGTGTTCTGGAAGAGTAAGCGTTTTCTGCTTCATCAACGACACCCTTCATGTAAATCTCGGTCAATCCAAATAAGTAATGTTACAATCTGAAATGAATACAAACAGGTATAGTAACGAACATCAAACAAGTACAGCTTCTTTTCACATAAGGAACTACAATACTTTCCAACAGTATAATTACGATGAACCATATCTTAAAGTGAAATTGAAGAACTTCACATGGTCTGTTACTAATATTGATAAGCTAGCCGATAAATTCAGCCTCGTATGACATAAAAACGGGTCAGCAAAAAGAGGGGCAAAGTATGTTTCCATAAGTATTCAAATTGTCTGTTTGTTAAATCTTACTGCAAAACCAGAGATAATCAACAAGAAATTCAATATGTCAGCATTATCATAATTATAATCCAAACTCCAATTCAATAAAGATTTATAGGGAGACTCATGTAAGTGTACAAGGAGATTAATACCAGGTGTTCCTGAAGGGTAAGAATATGCTGCTTGATCGATGACACCCACCATTTAAATCTTGGTCAATCCAAGTAAGTAATGTCAGGTTCTTAAATAAAAACAATGCATACAACAACGGAACCAACAGGCAAACTAATGAGTATCAACGATGAATACCAACCAGATATTTAGTCATTTTAACAATTTCTTCTCCCATATTTGCTTTACAAAACACACTTCAGTATCGTACATTTCAACTTGGAACGAGAGGAAAAAAGAAATTACATGTTGATATGTTTCCTCCGTTATGACAATACATTCGAAATTCCTACAAGACAATGTTATCATATACTTTGTATCAAATAGATTATAACATCGCATTTGCATATTACCTTGATGATATTCCGTCTCTATGATTAAGGTATAAAAGTAATACATCTCATGTATTTATACCAACTGATCAATGGTTTATGATCGTTTTCAAATTTGATGCCAATTCCTCTCAGTTCTCTTGCTGACACTGTAAACACTCTTAAGGCAAAATATCAATTATATCCGGTCTTTGATGTTTGAGGAGACTACAGTCAGCATTGGAAATGTGGAATGTGGAATGAAAGTACATCAAAACACCTTACATTGCATGTTTTATATCTATACATAGGCGACACATTGAAGGTATTTTTCTTTGATGTAAATTGCAGAGCAATTGCAATTTTCGTGCCAAATCATTTCAGTTTCCTTTTGAATGTATCAAAAGATCTGTAGAGTGTTATTAGAAAAAATATTTGAATAGTATCATTTTTCATGCATATCTCAATATTATTCGTATCTCAATGGAATGTGTTAATTAACAATCTATGATTAATTTCAGATACATATGAGAGTTCGGTACTGTTTGGAAGGGAGTGGATTGTGTATATGTGGTGTGGTGTTACGGTATCGAGAGAACGTTGTCACTATCGACATGTGTAGACAAAATACTGGAAATGAAAATGACGATCTTGACTTCCACCTACGTTCGTATGGTAATGGAGGGCCGATAGTTTCCAATGTGAAAGTCTTGGAGGGAAGAAATAATCGCCTGATTCATGTAGGTTCATAGATTTAAAGGTTGTTGTTTTATCATGAAAATTGAAACAAAGAAGTGTAAGTGATCCATACTTAATATATCATTGTTTATAAACTCCAAGAAAAGAGAAAACATTTGAATTTCCGCGGTTGTCAAGTGAATTGCCGTGATGGCCAAGAGGTTAAGGCTTCCCACCTTTTGGTCGCGGGTTCGATACCAACGTCGGACAATCTCACGGTATTTGCCGCAGGTCGGTGGTTTTTCTCTGGGAACTCCGGCTTTCCTCCACCACCCATGCCTGTCACGTCCTTAAATGACCTTCCTGTTAATAGGACGTAAAGCAACAATAAAGCGACCAATGAGAATTGCTTCATTAATATATCAACTCATGCGGGAGAAGGACAGCGTTATAGAGAAAGGAAAGCAAAAATGCTTAGAACATATTAATGAAATGCTTTATGTCAACTGTAACGCGAATGACTGTAGTACAACTACTGGTCTTTGGTATCTTTTAAATGGAAAAGTTCCTCGTATTATTATAGACATTCGTAATATAATGAGTGGTTGCAACTCCACTGTCATATATATAGATATTAAAGTATCGTCATTACATTTTTGTCTAGATTTTGCTTAGCTCCGAAGCACGACTTCGTGTAGACATTAATTCCGGACAGATGGGTGTTGCCCTCCAGGTATCAGGTTACTACACTGGGAAGACAGAGGGACTATGTGGACCAATTACATCAGTGGACTTATCGTCCACCGGGCCGGAAGTTAACAGACTTCCAGCTCCCCCTACTAGTACCAATTCATGGAGGTATTTACTTAATTGGTTTGTCAAGCGTCTTCATTTTGTTTAAGTAATACTGACTATGATTAAGTTTTTTCCCTTGCATGCGATATTGTGAAAAACATATAGTTTACGTTATTAAAATCAGGCAGATTATTTATTTTTTTGAATGTAATATTTTCTCGGTTCTTGGCGTTATCTTGGCATCTTCATAACACACAATAGGTAGTTTTCCTTTGTTCTTCTAGGTTTGCACCAGAGCGAAGCTATTTCGACCGAACACCAATACGAAATTTGAACGGCCAAAATGAGATCATGTGTGATTGTTCTTTATCAACAGTAAGCAATCCATGTCCGGAATCCAAACCCTTTTTGACGTCACATCCGTTCACAAGATTCAAGGATGTTACAGATGACTGGTGGAATAATATCACACCGTCTCCAGATTATTTATTTCCTGGTGACGAAGACATAACTGATGTTAATATAATGGAAAGAGTAGATGAAGAAACGGCAAGCGAAAAATGTGGCGAGTTCTTGTTGGCATCTGATATAGCAGAAACATGTGCGAATTTCCTCTATGAGAAAATAAGGTCTGTCATCGAATTATGTATTTCAATGGCAATGATTCAAGACGAATCGTACTGGAAACCAAATATTTTAAGACTAACTGAAAGCATGTGCGAATCTACCCTGGTCTCAAAACCAGTTGATGTAGAAACCAACGTGTCACGTGATAGCTTTGTGAACGTGACGCTCTGTCCGGGAAATTGCTACAATAATGGATTTTGTAGTGATAGCGGATGTATATGTTACTATGGTTACCTTGGAGTAGAATGTCTTCAAAAATTAGGTAATTATTATAACAGTTTTGTAATCATTGTAGTTAATTAATTATGTTCGTACATATAATTTCATTCTATGAATTTATTTATTCTGTTTAATTTTGTAACTTTTGGAAGGTCGTGCAAACTGTACCGCACAATCGAAAATGTGTTTGCACAATGTCTTTAGGCAGAAACATTTCAGTTAAAAAAAGGGTTTTTCAGGAGATTCATGTAGTACTTGAAAGCGTGTAAAATCTATCGTTCTCTTTATGTTAAATTTGCTGTATTGATTTGTATTTCAGTAGCAGTAAGCCCAACAACGTCAACTGCAGAAACAATCACAACTAAATATCTTACCACTACTACAACAACTACAACAACCACACCAACAACTACTTCAACAACAACCACCACACCAACAACTACAACCACCACACCAACAACTACTTCAACAACAACAACCACTCCTACAACAACTACCACCACTCCAACAACTACAACCACCACACCTACAACAACAACCACCACACCTACAACAACCACTACTCCAACAACTACAACCACCACACCAACAACTACAACCACTACCACTACTCCAACAACTACAACCACCACACCAACAACTACAACCACCACTCCAACAACTACAACCACCACACCTACAACAACCACTATTCCAACAACTACAACCACCACACCAACAACTACAACCACCACACCTACAACAACTACAACCACCACACCTACAACAACAACCACCACACCAACAACTACAACCACCACTCCAACAACAACCACTACTCCAACAACTACAACAACCACACCAACAACTACAACCACCACTCCAACAACAACCACCACCACTCCAACAACTACAACCACAACACCTACAACATCAACCACCACACCTACAACAACAACTACCACACCAACAACTACAACCACCACTCCAACAACTACAACCACCACACCTACAACAACAACCACCAAACCTACAACAACAACCACCACACCAACAACTACTACAACCACTCCAACAACAACCACCACACCAACAACCACAACTACCCCTTCAACTACTTCTACTGCCACTAAAACTACCACAATAACCACTCCATCAACAACTGCCACCCCACGAACAACTCCCATTCCGTCAACATCTACGACTTCAACGACTACAACTACTACTCTGACAACTGCCATTACTAGAACAACTCCATCACCCACATCCACCACTCCAACCACAACCACCTTTCCAACCTCAACTACAACTCCATCCACAACTGTCACTACATCCATAGTTAGAGAAACTACAACATTTCCAAAAACTACTCCTCAACCGTCTCCAACCACTTCTGAGCTGACGTCACCAGAAACCACTCCGACCAGGATTCTGCAAACCCCTTTTACGACATGTAACAGACGGACTGAAGGGTGTAGTACTGTCAGAATGTACCTGAGGCGCCCTCTGAAAAACTTTAATGGAGGCTGCGCAGTACGACAAATTCAGGTCAGGAGATCATGATGTTCAAGTTACCTGTTTATGTATTAGATTTTATAGATGGATACAAACTAAATGAAAGGTTTTAGTAAAAGACAATGATTAAGGATGCTGATAAGATTTTGCCATAGAAATATATGGAAAAATAATTTGTTTTGAAAACTGATCTATAAATAAGAATATACAACGCAGACATGTTTTTATTTACAGTTCAAAAACGGAGTATGGGTGGCTAGTGGCGAGATGGTGAGAGCGATTATGCGATACATAAATATAGAGACAGTGGAATGTATATTACCTCAGGTGTCACGGAGGGTTGACTTCACAACTTACCAGGCTTATGTAAGTTTATGTATAACAATATTCTAGTTTTTTGTTAGTTTCCTTCGCTACATACTATTCTGTTATAAGCTTATATTTTACAACACGCCAAACTTGTGTAAGTTAAATATTTCGAAACATACTTGATTTATGTAAGTTTATATTTCACAACATATATGTACACTATGCACGATTTGCAGGTTATAATGCGAGACCGATTTTATATCTTTACAGCTAACAATATATTAGATGTTTTATATTAACAATTAATGGTCATAAACATGCCGTACACACATAACACCTTCACTTCAGAAACTGAACAGCGAAAGTATACATACTAACTTACACCACACCCCTGATAATCTGAGTGTGGTATTATATAACTATGAAGTGATAAACATAACGTATTCGGACGATCGGTGCGTGTTGTAGACAGGGGTAAGATTCCCTAACAGAAACAACACGTAGGAAGTTACCTCCCAGACCACCATATTCTGCCCAAGATATCATATTTCGTGATAGATTTCTACGGAAGATACAAAATAAGTTATGTATATATTCAACGGTATGAAATTTTGAATTTTAAACCGATCCAAGCCTCTTGCTCGGAGGATTTATGTTTACCCATATGTAACTAACGGAAGCATCTATAATATCGTTTGCAAAGTTTACATAGTAACCTATACTGTTGTTTAAGTAGGATTCTGGTTCATGAAGTTAACATACATGTTAGTGCGAAAGTCTGGCATTTGCAGGTAAAACATTCCACGGTGTCAATACAGCATCAACAAAGACACAATCAGGATGTCAGTATGAAGAGAACGATTGAGCATGTATTTTAAGGCCTTGTCCCCTTTGACGAAGTATTGATTTTATGTTATGTTAGAAGAATTATATACTTGTCAAGGATAAAAGTAAATATATTTCCAGTACTCTAATGTTGATTTAAAAACAAAGACTTCAAATGTGCCAATACGTTATCATTCAGTATGGTTGTTTTTTCATTAACTACTTTATATTTTCTTTCATTACAAAAGGAATTTTCTGCTATTTATCAAATGATTTGGTAAACTGAAAGGAAATGTTTTTACTTGTACTGTAGGAATATTTTCTTAACCCAAGTGGATAACGTTTACTTAACAAAAAATATTTTCATTCTTCCTAATGATTTGAGTACAGAAAAAAATGTCACGAATCACAGGGAGGAAATTTTAATGATACTTTAACACAGACTGAAATATCTCATCCATGATCAGGGATTTTTCTTAAATAATGATACAAGAATCATTGTCCTATGTTCTCTGTACGCAATGTATTCCATTTATCACAACGTTGAGCTCAATTTTTTCTCTAAGTGCGTAAGCTAAAGAGAGCCTGGAATATACATTTTTTTTTATATAGTCATCAACAAAAACAACAAGAAAATACCGACATGTCAACACAATCATAATCGAAACCCAAATTCAATAAAACTAGGGCAGAATATTAACCAAAGAAAGATTTATACGGACAACTCTGAAAAAAGGACATGAGGAATAAAAAAAGTGTTCCGGAAGAATAAGCATTTTTGAAAAAAAACTTCTAATTTTGGTTAAGAGAAATGGTAAAGTGTGGTAAGATATATGGTCGCCATCGTTATCGAATTGAGAAATAAAGAAGACTCCTGCCAGGTACCAGGTGTTCCGGAAGAGTACACGACATCTGCTTCATCAACTTCACCTGCGATGTAAAATTTGGTCAATCCCTGTAGGTAATGTCACGTTTTGCAAATGAGAACAAGGTATACAACAATGAAACCAACAGGCAAACTATCGGGCATGAAACACGTCCAACTTCCATATCGCACAAAGAAATAGAATAAACAACTGATTACCGTAAAAAAATATTTCCCTATCATTTACATCAACCTTTATCTTTTGAAACCCTGTATTACGAGTTTGTCCGTCAGTTGACGACATACATTTCACCCGTAGTTTTACTCTAAATTGGACTTCGTTAATCAATTGTGCTATGTTAGAGATTTCCGTTTAGCTTGGTGTTGCGCTTTATTTCTCTCAACGTTATCAATGATTTCATGTCTTTTGTTATTGTACCTTGTGTAAGACGTCAGCAAATGAAAGACAAACCAAAAACACAGAGTTTTGAGAGATGCAGGTTCATGATTATAGTTCAAGTTGTACTGTATTCATAACTATTCTGTTTCTTAGTGTGATCATAAAGTTGGACGTGTTTGATGCTCGTTAGTTTGCATGCTCCGTTGTTGTATACCTTGCAACGTTTCATGACGAGTGTCGTAAATGAAGTTAAAGACGCTTAGGCTTCCGGAACACCTGGTCGTATTCTCCATGTACATTTTTTTTCAGAAATATCCCTAACAAGAATGTACCAACAGGTCAACATAATCATAATAAAACTAACGCTAAATATGAATGAAATAATGTATTATACTGTGATTACTGAAAAACTTCCATGAGAATAAGCAATTCTGGGAATGAGCACCACTGTTTTCTATTTTTCATACGGAGTTTTTTTTCTCATTTAATTGCGATTTAAAACCATCTTCGAAAATTGTGACAAGTACAAATTCTCGAGAAAAATAATGTCTTCACATTCTTCCGGGTAAACCAGATCGGTGACCGGTCCTAAATTGGGTGTTATAATCTTGATGATATTTACAAATGATCACAGAACTCATATAACTTAAGAAAGATAACAATATATACTAATTTTGATAATGTTATTTGCTTCTTGGATATAGATTTATAGAACGTTAACTATTGAAATATTTGTTTGCATGCACGTGCGTAATCAGTCTACGAAAGTGACATTATAGAAATACATATGTAAATGTAAGGAAGATGTACTATACAATGCTAAAGCGGTATCTGTGTTGACTACTCCCTTCACCCTGTTATATCTGATGGTTTGGTTGTAATTGAAAATCAGTTCTTGTTGAATTGGTCCTTCTGTAGGTCTGAAATTCTTTATGTATACGTAAGGGAGGAACTCACGTGGCTGCAACACATGTAACAACTCGTTAAGGTTGCGCCTTACACAAAAAGAAAAAATTATATCATTGCATTCTATAACAGAATAGACTTTATTGAAATGTCACCATTTTATCTTTAAACTCAACAGGAAGTTACATGTCTCCAGATTCCGAATTCGACCTTCGATTTTTTTTATTAATATAAGGGTTTTATTGATTGGTATGTATGGTGTCAAGATGACTACGTAATAACGCGGCTTTATTGAAGATTTTCCTTCAACATTTCATAAAGATAAAACGGAATAGGCCTTGAAATGTATAGAGAAAATAAAGTATGATGCTCGTTTACTTGTATATGTTATGATTAACAGACACGCATAACATACTACAATTGATCTTATATCTTTACGCTGAATTTAAATCTTCAATAGGCAACACTTAGACAGTTATCCAATTAATAGAATTATTGTTTCTTATGCAAAATTCTTTCTACAAGCCATATGTGAAAAACAGATGAAAATTTCGATAACAAGTATGAAAAAATAAGGAGCAAATTAGACTAAATACTTAAAGAGAACTCACTTTTCATTAATCCATAACCTGTAAAAGTATTAACATATACTATTATGCTTAGGAATTATGTAGGTATAAGTCTGCAGTCAATCTCAAGAACGTACATACAGAAAATATGTAGGTCGTATGCTCAAGTATATCCTAAAAACCCAAACATCTGTTAAAACATAGACACTTCTATGGAAGTATTTCACTGGTTTGCCATTCTGTCAGTTTTATTTCACGGGAACAATACTAGTGGACACTACCTAGTGTGTTTAACCACATTGTATACAACTATATGTCAGCGTATATTTAGTAACATCCTATGTATTGTTACCCACAATGCTTAAAAACAAAATAACAGCGTATGTGTAGCAACAGTCTACGTTTTGTTACCTTACAAATACTTCAAACAATCCATGTGTATGATCAACCTATATATTCTTACGTACAGTGCTTAAAACAATATATCAGCGCATATAAATTGCGTTTCATGAATCTAAGAAGTTATAAGAGAGCACACCGACATCATTCATTGTATAAAGTAGCGAGACAAAACCTCCAAATTAAGCGTAAATTGTTTATATAGTAAATTAACACCAGAAGTAAATGCATCCCTGGTAACGATTGACATACTAGGTATAGTCAACAAATTATAATATCAAATTGTCTAATGGACAACTAACTGTCCCCAAGCAATTTGGCAGTCCACTTAGTTATGTTTTTTATTAGATGTGTACTTAATGGATGGATTTGGATTAATTGAGGAAATCTCGTCAGCCACAACATTTAATATGTCATTATATCACCACGGACAGGATGGCAATTCCATCAATAGAAACATTTAACTTAACAGTCTGTAGGGTAATGTATAAAGATAACATAACTCGGATTAATATTTTCTTTTGTATTGTGGATTTTGTGAAGTTCAATATATTGACAGATAAAGTGAATATAAGCTGAAATCTCTATATATTGGTATTGAAATAAAAGCATTAATTGTGTTTTTGTATTTATAGATACACCAGTTTCAATAAGTGAAAAGATATTACTTTTATTACAGGTGTTCGACTCGGAAGGCAACACATTGTCTCGTATGGTGTCTGTCATTGACCTCATCTGTCAGACCTGTTCAATAGATACAGGATGCAGTTTCAGGGTAGGTCAACATAAGTATTATCTAGACATTAGTAGTGCCATGTTTTTTTTTTTTTTTTTTTTCATTTTACATAGAGAAATTGTTCAGAAGTTATTTAAGACAAAACGATTAATATATTGGTACAGGACAGAAAATGAAGATCACGAACAAAGACGATATTGTAACCCCCCACCAAAAAAAAAAGTAAAAAGTAGTTTTAAATTTGAGAAGGTAGGATTGTAAGTTAATAATGTTTAAAGACATAGACTCATCAAAGAGGCTGAAGGTCTAAATTATTGAAAACTCGGGGAGACTAAGGTAATAATTTTCGATATTAGATTATCATCATGGACAAAACACAACTCTTCAAATGAGTTAGAAATTGACACAAAATGATAACATTGATAACGTTTCATTGCTTACATTGGGAAACATGATAGTTGAATATGCATTTTAGAGTGCAAAAAATCTTGACCGACAGAGTAAACGCTGATGTTGCTCTTTATATGTAAAAAAGTGAAAAAAATTGTGCCTTTGACCATGTGATCATTATGATAACACGATTGATCTCAATGTGACAACAGTTATGTGTTTGTCAGAAGAACGTCGCAAACTGAAACAGCAAAAAACTGTCTAAATAATGAACGTTTTGCAAATGAAGAATTGATTCCATAAAACATATTGGTACCGCTCGGATGTTAACATGCAATCATGTCCGTTTTTAATGAGTTTGTAAGTAGAAACAGTGTGTGTTACAGGACTTTTCGCCAAAAACACTTTTATATGTACCCGTTTGAAACTTTCGTTACAGGATAACACGTGTTTTATCGATCAGACCTGCTACAATGGAGGATACACTAATCCCAATAATCACTGTCAGAGGTGTCTACCTGTAAGGAGTCTGAAAAAGTGGTCACCAAGGGAAGGCAAGTGTTTCCCTCCAGGTCAATGTGAAATAAACTACCCAAAATTAAAGAAGAATTGCTTTTATTTATTTTCCAGCATTCACTAATGTACCTACCATACTTGATTTGTGCATTAAAATAAATATTTTATTACTTCAGGATATATTTATCCGTTTATTTTCAACTTTTTGTTTTCAATTAAGAAATTAATAAATCATCAAAAAAAAGGGTGTTACCAGCCTTTTTAAAACGAATTTTTGTATCAGAAGTGGTGACGATATAATTTTAAAACTTAATTTTATCTTTCAGATAATCGTCTACCGATTGTCACGACAAAACAGACCACTTTCTCAATTATTCAAGGAGACACCATTTATACAAAAATAAACTCCTCTGATCCAGAAGGATCTCCTTTGAGATTCAAAGTAGATCGATCAGATGCTTACATAAGTCGACGGGGACTATTCAAATGGAAATCAAGCGTAAGAGCTTTGAGAAGAAACGGAAGTTCCGAGGTATTCCGGGTGTCGATAATGGACAAATGTGGCGGGAAGAAAACTGTAGTTCTACTAGTAAGTGTTAGATAATGATGAAAGGCTTAACGACGTGTATTGTGCTGTTGAGAATAAAGATCAATAATGGAATAATCTTTATGATAAGATATTCAGCTCATTATTGACCGCTTCTACATACCGTGTATGAACATGTGTTATCTGCAGGATATTGATGACTGCCTAAGATAAAGAAAGCGAAACATTTAGCCAAGGATTTATTTCATTCTTGCCTTGTGTTAAGTCTGTCCTTTGCCAATATCAATTTTCAAATTTAACTTTAATTTTCACCACCTTAGTTCCAAAAGTACGTCCGAACAAAAAAATGAACTGCAGCGTAAATGTTCTCGTTTAAAATACGCATTATTAATAATTTGCTGTAAGTTTACATGTTATTTTGACGGTTACAATATATATCATTAGTAATTACGCGATATTAGTTGCTTGCGTTCAACAATACTTACATTACGAATGTCTTTCATGAAGCAAAAGCCGTTTCACCTTGTGAAATATATCCGTGTATTATCCTTGCAATGGTTTAGAGCCCGACGTACATTTTCTTTTGTCATTTCATTACATCGTTTCAACGAATTACAATTTTGCATGTTTTATTTAACAATATCTTGTCTCTAGGTGGTGCTGTACCAGTGCGGATGTAAAAACAACGGAGAATGTGTCAGTCGGACTGTCCGTTACAACAGAACAGCCAATAGTTATGAATGTAACTGCCCATCTAGCTACACTGGTATGTTGACTATAATTCGTAGGTTAAAGCTAGATGTGATTGATGCTCATTATTTTGTCTCTTAGATCCATTACTGACTTGGATTGACCAATGTTTGCATGTTAGGTGTCGTCGATGAAGCAGATGATGCTTTCTACTCTGGAACACCTGATCATACTCTCCTTGTCAATCTTTCTTTTGTTCATATGTTTATATATCCTAATATGGGTCTTTTGGGTTGTTCTAGGTTCTCGTTGTGAATCGCGGGTTAGCGCCTGTAGGAGTAATCCGTGTTACCAGGGAGTAACCTGTTCTGACGTCGGAGATGGTTTTCGGTGTGGACAATGTCCAATGGGCATGACAGGAAATGGAATCACGTGTAAGCGTTTTCATTACATTTGTTAAAGACGTTGCAATTCATATGATTCTTTTCGTATTCGTTTGTAGTTATTAATCCCCTGCCGATGAAACCGGAGGGGACTATACTGTTTGTCTCCGTCTTTCCGTCCGTCCGTCTGTCTGTCCGGATGTTGGTTTCCAGACGATAACTTGAGAACAGATTGATGGATTTCAATCAAACTTTATACAATGGTAGTTTATAAGGCAATATAGTGTGGGATTTTGTTTGGGGTCAAACGATCAACTACAAAGGTCACTGTTACTAAAATAGAATCTTGTCACAATTAAGTTTCCGGACAATAACTTGAGAATGGATTAATGGATTTGGATGAACTTCATACACTTGAAGCTTATAAATAATAAAACAAGACACTTCTGATACAGAACAAGTTTTAACTTACCTTATATGTATTTCATATTGAATAACCAAGATCCTCCAAAGGAACTTTTTAGAAGGATGTGGAAAATACCAAATGCATGGTGTCTTTAGATATGAGCTATGACCATAATCACAGAAAAACAAATAATTTCTTAGCATTTTTCTTATTCTAATTCTAATTCTTTGATTAGGTCTATCAAATATGATGTACAAGGATATTTTGTGTCAGAGTATCAGACTGCTCATACACTTATTAAGTCTTCGCTCAATATTCATACCTAACTCTCTCCAAAATGGGGATCAAGTCCCCTCTGGAATCAATTCTTCAAAGGGAAATTTGTTTTCTTTACAGTGTTGTTTACTTTACCTTTATATGATGTAAATTTGAATTCTATGTTCGCATTTCTTTCCGCCGATATGCTTTAATATTACACAGGTAATGGTATATCTTAAATTAATCAAAATTAAGCATTCAATGAATGATGTTTTGATATAAATTAGGCGTGTGTGCCACTACATTGCATTATCTATCATAGTTTGATTCTAAACAAGTTACAAACCCTATCGAATTGTTGTGTTTTACGCATATATCACCAAGATATGTTACTTTCTTATATTCATTTCCAGGTAATAGAAATTGTGCCTCCAATCCGTGCTTTCCTGGAGTACAATGTACAGATGTTACAATGTCCGACCCGGCCTTTACCCAGAATTCCTTTGCCTGTGGACAGTGTCCACCAAACTACCTTGGTGATGGCCAGCAGTGTAAAGCTCAGGGTACGTCCTTCGTTAATCAATAAAGTATTGTTTTTTTAAGAGAATATATGGATTGTTCTAGTGAACAAGTTCAAAACTTGAGTAGAGTTTACAAATGTTATTCATACCGGTTCTTCACAGCATTTTGGGGTAGTGGAAAAAATCTGATATTCAATCCGATAGAAATCTGTTTCGATAAAACACTTCAAATTTCGCTTGCCTCAAATTCGTTTTATTGTTTGTCGTTTGTCTTGCTATCTTTGTACCTTAATGGGCTTGCCATGTGTACCAACAGTATGACAAATCTACATGAGCTCAAACTCCAATTTTACGATCGTTCGTTACAATTGATATATCATTGTTGTTTTCTCAGGAGCCAGCATGTGCGAGAGAAACATTTGCTCGCCTCTAGTAACATGTCGAAACACCAGACACTATCCATATTACAAGTGTGGGGCGTGCCCGTACGGTTACCAGGGTAACGGTACAACATGTACAGGTATTGTTGATGTTATTTCTGTTTCTTCACTAAATTTTTTTTTTTAGTAATAATTCAGTATGATGTCTTATCTATAATCATATTTGGCTTTGCTAACAATAACTATGTTTGTAATCCATTGACTTTTCTATAGTTTATTTATAATATATTCGGCCATATCAATATTGATTTATTCTATGTCAATTTCATATCATCTGTTGTCAATAATAAGGTTTATTGGAAATGTCGATAGAAATATACAGCATACGGCAAAAAGACATAATAAGAACCTCATTGTAGATTCTTCTGAATGCTTAACTGCTTGATGTCCTCGGTAACTCATGTGTTATATATTTATTTTCATTCTTTCTGAATCTTGACAATTTTGTAATATCAAGCTACTGTTCGTGTACAAGGGCTTAAATATTCGGAAATCGTGATGTGAATACATATTTCGCTTCTTCTACCAGTTTCGACTTGTAACCAGTATTGCCCACGAAATCGCATCTGCGTCAGTCCGGGCGTCTGTGCCTGTCGTCAAGGTTACACCGGATTTATATGTCATCGACGTAAGTCAATTACTCGAAAATCAATACAAATTATACATATCATTAGCAGAAGACAAGCACAATATATATATAACTATTACATTTATTTCACAGGCTGAAATTTACCACGCAACACTTTTTCAAAAATACTCTTAAGTATGTATAACGCAGTGACAAAGGTCAAAAACACAAAATATTAGATAAGTTTGATAAATTTTAAAAATACCTCAAAAGAGTAAGTTGAACACCCGAAATTGATACACATAAACTCTTTATATCAATACCCTTAATATCAATTACACAAGTCAAGCAAAGAAAAAAAAAAACTTAATTATACATTACTTACCAGCATAAGTGAAGTACGCAAAACTGTTTCATAGATACACATTAGTCAAGCACACAAAAATGTTACATTAATGAACTTCATAATCTATACCTCAACAACATCAATCAAGAGCCCAAAGACTGTTACATACATATCATAAATCACATATACCTCAACTATGTACATCGCATACTTATTGATATTATATTATTGCAATAAAACATAACACAAGGCATATGACATTAACACATACTTAAGTCTTGCACGTATCACATAATGTACTATAATACATAATACATAATAGAAGTATTCTTCCGACGTATGTAATGCTTGAAATTATCATACACTTTTGGCAAGTCGTGCTCCTACACAGTAGATAATACACGTATTTACTTAACAATGCAATCACTCTATGCATCAACTTGTATATATCCTAATGTATCTGAATGCAATTAAATACCATTCATGTTTTGACTTTTGAATTGCTATTAAAACACCTCATTGCGTTCACATACATAACATAAGATGATGTATTGCCATCCATATCTAATGCATTTCTACTCTACTAACAGAAACAGGAAAGGCTATACAAGGCATACATTCTTTCAAACAACAATATTTATATGAGTTTTAAGTGAAGATCATATTCTTTCGTTGTTCTCCTTAATTTTTGTTGTTATAATTTTGCTATGTTTATAACGATTCGGGTCTGACATATTATATATATTTTAAATTTATATAAATATTATTTATATTTATAGATTTGTTTTCAATATTTTGATTGAATTAATTATTATCAATTCTATTGATAATATTCAATTACGTGTTTGCATTGACAACCAGGGCTTGATTTAAGTTTTTGGTGAGACGTTTCCGTTTTTTTTATATAAATATATGTCCTGTCATGTACATCACCTCAAATTTGTATTATTGTGAATGTTACTCTGTAATTTATATTTGCCTCATATATAATTTTCCCTATATAACCTTGAATAACGAGCACGTCAAACATTAATTATCTATTTAGTTCAAAACAAGAATATTGATGCAGCTGATCAATATGTTTTCTTTTTATCAACTGTTGACAATATGTACATCGAATTTCATCATGTATATTATTACACTTTGTTACAGCTGTTTGCAAGCCGCATTGCCAGAATATGGGTTTTTGCCAAAGTGTTAATAAATGTCTATGTAGACAGGGCTATACTGGACCAAGGTGCGAAACAGGTACAAGTAATAGATAAATCACTGAACTGCGGGGAAACAAAATGACATTAACAGCAGGTACAAAAAGTAGATAAATTACTGAGGTGCAGGAAAACGAAATAACATTAACACCAGGTAAAAGAAGTAGATAAATTACTGAAGTTCAGGGAAACAAAATGTCATTAACACTATTTACCATAAACAGATAAACTACTGCAGTGCAGTAGAAAAAATGACATTAACATCAGGCACAAAAATTCGATGAATTACAAAAAAGTGGGAAGAATAAAATAACATTAACGCCAGGTACAAAATGAAGATAAATTACTGAAATGCAGGGAAACAAAATAATATTAACATCAGGTACAAAAAGCCGATAAATTGAAAAATGTGGAAGGAATAAAATAACATCATCACTATGTACAACTAATAGATAACATAGAGTATCATAGGTAGAATCTAATGGCATTCACTCAGTGTGGTTTTTATTGTTTAACGTCCTACAACGATAATTTTCATTATTATGAAGTTACATTAACACCAGATACAAATTAAGAATAATATTACATTAAAACCAGGTACAAGTAGTGGATAACTTACAATTGCGTAAAAAGAATTAAATGACAGCAACACCAAGCAAAAATAATAAAAGGAAAGTAGAACGTTTAGATAGATTTTGCCACTTTGAACACGTTTTTTGGTTGAAGCAGAAGCGGCATTGCTTACTTTTTAAATTTTTAAAAACCATTTTCTTAGTTCTTTTATAATTAAATCGATTTTGAATTTGAAGAAGATTTTTTTTCACATTGTTTTCTGGTATTCTGTTTGTTGTTTTCTACATTACTGAATTATATACAGGAATCTTAAGAGAATCAGTTTTACCTTTCAATTAATTTTCCTGTTTCAAATCTATCGAATGTAAATTTTGATGTTGTTGATTTATAGACAAAAAATATTGCTATAGCCTATAAATTGTGTGAAGAAAAAAAAAATGAAATGAGAATACATTTTGATATCATTATCGATTTTTCATTGCGATCAAGGTTTTATTCAATTTGATTTTTCGTCTAGAACCGTTGACACCACAATCTAAGTTCTTTTTGTCAAACTGACAACACGCTTGACTAATAATTATATACGTAAAAGGATATTTGTTATTGATATATTTGTTTCGGTGCGCTTGTGATATCAAATTATATATATATATATATAGGTTATGCAAAAGTAGCCTGGATTTAACTGCATGGTTTGCTTATTATAAATCACGTTTTGTTTAATGCAACTACCACTTTATCCGTATCAGATCTAATAATACTTTGGAAGGTTTTCTTCAGTTGTCATCTTTAACATACAATGTTAAATAACAAGAAAAATGTAAATTGCAATTCTTTTCATACAGTGTCTAGTATCTGAAATAACACATATAACATTTTGTATACCTACAGCAAATTCAATGCTTGCTATAATTTATGAATTCAGCCAACACATATATTCCGTAGCCACTTTTCCTAATATACATATATTCTGATTGTATTTTCAGCGTACTGCAATCCGCCTTGTAGAAACAATGGCCAGTGTATCAGACACAATAAATGCAGATGTCCTGACGGGTATAGAGGATATCGATGTGAAATACGTAAGTAGTATTTCTTTATTCGTATTTATAATATATTTTTACACGTAAAGATGCTAACTACATTTGATACACGGTATTACACTTTCTTTTGCGGTCAGTTTCAGGAATATCTCAAGAGCAATCATGATTCCTTTGTCATATTAGTATTGCAAAGCGTCTGTCTGGTGAGCACGGTTAATCAAATAAACGAATTTTCATTTTCTCTAGACATTTCCTCGAGTTTGTTGAAGATTTATGGTTCGTTTCTTTACAGCTGTATGTAATCCAACATGTCAAAATGGCGGTGCATGTCTTCCTGGTAACAAATGTCAGTGCACCCCCAACTACAAGGGTAAAGTTTGTAAAAAACCGAAATGTATGCCAAAGTGTCAAAATGGTGGGAAATGTGTGGCGCCTGGGGTGTGTAGATGTAGAGCCCGACATCGGGGACCTCGATGTGAGAATGGTAAGATAACATTTACATATATTTTAATGTTTCCTTGTGCAAAATGAAGTGAATACGTACATTGTTTCTTATTATGTCAGTATATCTTTAATTTCTATTTATCCTGGTTTCGTTTGAGAACTAGAAATAAATTCAGCTCGATTTAAATTACACATTATCGTCGGTGAATCAGAGGTTGCTTGTCCTTCAGTAACCCATGGTCTTTCAAATATCTTACTATTACAATGTCCTTTCTGCAATAAGAAAATCCGAACTTGTGAATAAGATTATCATCTAAACTCAAATTCAATAAAACAAGGGCAAAGTATGAACATAAGAAAAAATTACACAGCGACACATGAAAATGTACAAGGAGAATAAGACCAGGTGTTCCGGAAGATAAAGCGACTTCTGCTTCATCGACGGCACCCTCTATGTAAATCTTTGTGAATCCAACTATTTTTTTCAATTGAAGAAACATTTATTAATTTTGCGTTTGATTTCGTCACACAGAATGTGGAATAACAAAACAATGAATGACATATTTTTATTTCTAAGCCATTGATTATATGCAGTCTCTTGGAAAGTGAAATGTAAACACTTTCTGAGGCAATTAATAACAGAAAGGAAACGAACATTCCAGACAGTTCTAACCTAAGTACTATGCATGAGCATTAGACAATCAGTATGGTTTTTATCTGACGAATATTCGAAATTGATTCAATGACAGAATTTTTCATAGCATGTCTGAAAAAATAAAAAAAAAACCCCGAAATCGTGGCAAAACTTACCTGAACAGATATCATTAACTCATTATCAACAGCTGTATGCCGATTCCAGTGTCAAAATGGTGGTGTCTGCTCCGGATATAACCGCTGTAAATGTCCGCACGGCTATCATGGTCGGAGATGTCAATTTGGTAAGAATGAATTCCTATGCTTGTGGTATTGAGTGTTGTGACATGTTTCCATTTTTGTTTGAGAATGTTTTTTTACGATATTTTTTATCTACCGTTTTTGATACAGTAAACGTAAAATTCGTTTTACTTTATGTCTGTTTTTCTTTTGCAATTAGTGATGTTGTATAGGCTAGTCTGGTGTAACTTTTACAATCACGGCCAGTTTGTATTTTGTCCGTTATATGTGATCACATAACTACTGCAATAATCACGTTCCTTTCATTTGCGTAATGCATGCTTACGTCTGCCACGATTTCAGTAATATCAGCAATAATGTCGTGAATTTAAAGATAAACGAAATAACTTAAAGTATCAACTAAAGTATTGAGCATAATTGTCGTTTGACATCATATATACATATATATCTGTATTGCGCAGTAGATCATCATTTCGCACGTTTTGCTCTTTTGCTAGTTACGCAAAAAGGTGCGCCGAGGTTTAATGCCAAAACTGAAAAGCTATATGTGTTTATGTAATTCAATATTATGTTGAAACTTGACAAAAGGAAATGCTTCATGCAAGGCAAGAGCAATAAATGATCTTTCGCCACACAAAAGCACTGCTTTTCCTGCTCAGAGATACTTAGTATCTTAATAAGCTACCTTACGTGTGATTACTTAAATAAGTGTCGATAAGAATTAAATTGATATTTGTCATACATATTGATTAACATGTTTATTTCATTACCTGACACTGTAATAATCGCACGGTTATATTAACGTTCATCTTAAGTTTCACTAACAATACCAGCTTTTCTCACAGCGCACTGTCGGAGAGTATGCTTGCACGGGGGCCGTTGTGTGGGCGTCAATCACTGCACGTGCATTCATGGTTATACAGGACGTTTCTGTCACAGAGGTACTTAAATATAAGTGTCTTTAAAATTTTGATATTGATATGCTGTTCATTGTTATTACAATTATTGAAACGTTTTACAGCTTTTCCATTTTATGAACCATAAATTCGTTAGTTTGAAGACGGTAACCATATACCAAAGGCCATAATTTCACTGATCTATTAAAAATTAGGATTTAAAAATACAAATACGAATTACACTTAATCAAATACTGTCGCTAAACATGGACATACAGTAAAGTTAGTAAGAGTTAGTAAGGAAAAAGCAGCAATGAAGTTGCACCCACGCCTTTCTTTTGAATGCTTTATTTAAATTTTCAGCTTTAATGAAGTTAAAGGTCCAATTACTAATTTAAGTATAATCACAGTAGATGTATTAAAACTTTGGTCACACTTTATTTGCTTAACTTCATTTCAGCTTGTTGTTTCCGTCAGGCATATATGGGCTTGCTCCGTTAAATGATAGTATGATTCAACAAAACTCAGTTCATGACAGCCGTCCTATCACCCACTTTTATAACACTACAGCTTTTACATGCTGCTTTAAACACCATCACCTAAATTTTTTCAGCAAGTTAACGTCGTTATCATAATGCCTGGATAGCTCATTTGCCATTCATTTCATTCATGTACATATTTCTCACCATACATGTAACAATAGTAATTATGTTTGAATTAATCAAAGTCGTCAATATTACATAAAACCATTTTATTTTACATCTAAGATTACATATTCTGTGTAACTATATCAAAACTAGCAATAGGTATCATTTAACACAATATCGATATTCACAAACTAGTGAATCTAAACATTCCAATCACTGAAATAAACTCTGGATTTTTATATTCACCAAATAAGGTGTGTAAAGCGGTGATCTAAAAAATGTATTGATATATTTTGTTACTCAGAAATTAGTCAGGAATTATCATGTTTCTTTTCACAACTTTGTTATCGATGCTATCATAAAACAAGTTTACAATTGCATAATTAATTATCATATCGATGTACACAAACGTCATATCGAAATTTTGTTGAAAAGTTGTAATATTTAAGAATATAGAATAGGTTAAAAGCGTTATATATACTTACCAGGCATCCTTGAAAATATATAATGATATTTATGTCGATTAAGTTAAATATCGTGTTTGCTAATACAGTTCAGTGCACACGGAATTGTAATGGACGAGGGTATTGTCGGACACATGACAAATGTACGTGTAGAAGAGGATATTATGGAACTAATTGCCAATATGGTAAGTTTATTGTTATCAGCAGCATAAGCACTATTAGGGTTTGTAGGAAAATACAAGATAAGGATAACAGTTCAGCTAAGTTAGATCATATACTTAAACTGTCAAACATAAAATCAACGATGTTTTTCATTATTGTGTCAAAGTGTTTAGTGCTACATTGATACATTATCGTGTTTGTGACAATATTTGGTATTGTTAGGTAGCTATATATTTGAGACAGATATTGGCAGGATTATTCAACAGTAAACACTAATTATATCACTTCCTATATAAATCCTACAAAAGAAGCTAATTGATACATTGGACGAAATTCAGTGTAAGTAATTATACTTATAATGTCCTATAATAAACATTTTGTTCTTGCGATCACATTGGATTTACCTCAATCAACTCCGACGTGTCAAACGTTAGGTCCATAGCACCACTGATGAGTCCAAGACAAACGAAACAGCTGTATGTTGCAGTTTAATGCATTGTTTACTCTACTGTATCTAACTCTAAATATGTATTAAAATGTGCTGTTTGTTTGTGTCTTTTGTACCATATTTTATTCCATATTGATACATCTTGTAAAAACCAAAAATTATTTGCAATTGCTAAATTATATTTTATGATAAGGTGAAATATGTTTGTTCCAGCTTCATGTTGGCCCAGATGTCCCGAGGGCCGGAAATGTCCCCATCCTACCGTCTGTCGGTGCCGGAGAACCACAAATGGTCACGTTTGTCAGGTGAAAAATCTTCTTAATTATCCGCTATTTAAGTAGTAACTGCTTAAGTTGTGGGATTGCTGAATGCGTAGCGTAAATATTTGTATACCGAATGATCAGTTATTTATTATAGAATATTAAATATTATGTGTTGTATGCAGAATGTCCAAAATATTTATGTAAAACATGTCTTGGCACAGCTATAAAAAGTCTCATTTTTCTTCACCACGCCAATCTTTAAGATTAGAGATTGCTCTGTTTCGCCGTCAAAGTAACACAATGCCATTATGTTTGTATAAGAATTTATGCTACAGTATGTTACCATGCTGGTTTTGAATTAATTAGGTGGCATTTTTCAAGCATGAAATAATAAAGGAAATGAATATGTTGAGCATCACTTTCATTCATATATCTGTAAATCATCTTACAGCTTATGAACCAATATTGCAGTAAAAAACACAAAAAACAGCAAAAAATACCATAAAAATAATCGGTTGCAGTAGTATGTAACAATAATAATAAATATTGGAAAGTTAAAAATATCACTTAAGGGAGTATGATAAGCATGATAGCACTTCTAATTGAATGTATGTGTATTTGTATATATATCTTAAGTGTTAAAAGTGTCATTAAGCTTTTCATTGGTAAAGTGTTTTTGTCAGATCAGTTGCAAGAAAGCTGATTGTCATCATTTGCATGTGTATATTCTGGACTGTGCCACTATGATTTAAAACATGGCAAGCAGATTACGACAACCACAGGGACTGAAATGTAATCAGCAATGTCTACCACTTTTCAATCCCGAAGATTGTCTATACAAATTCAGAATTAGGAACTGTAGAATCTCATAAACTTCCCAGAAATGTGTTTGCTACAGAGATGATCGTTTTATAGAGGAATTATATGTTAACAATGCACCACAAATGTATTAGTTTAGGTAACTATTAGATGTACATCACCATATTAATATCAATTAAAATGCTCTTCTATCATAATATTGTTGATAGTGTTAATATTTGACGTAATATTATGAATGAATGAAATATGTTTGAACTACCATTCATTTTATTGTTATATACATGAACATGTCATACGTGTCGTAATGCTCAATTGTGTGTATTTTGTTTGACCATTTTTGTGTGTCGCATGTTGTCCCCAGTGCACAGTTCGGGCGATATACTCCTCACGATACCAACAGATACAGAACCATCCTAAAGTGACACGGAGGTTAAGCTATAGACTGAAGCTTAACAGATGAGCATTTGTCGATGATTGATATAAGGCAGTGAAGTAAGAATGAATATTCATAAAAATGATAAAACATTTTTTCTGTGTTGATTTTGCTAAAGAAGTACTTGTTACCAAGTAGATCCGCGCTCCGTTTAAACCAATATGGTCTTTCCACTTGTAGATCTATTCTTAATGTACACATTTCATTTAGAGTAAAATGATATGTTTTCATTGCTCTCGTACAATAAAGTATAAGAATTATTCAACGCTTATGACACGATTATATAATTTTGTTCTCAGCAAATGATATTATTTACTGTTACATTTGACACGACCTTTTGTCGTTATTGATAAAGTCATAGTTGGCTTTGAAGAATATGACATTCATTGTGAAGATATACCACTGATATTAAAGTCTATCGCACTGTTGATTTGACATACTGCGTTTACATTGCGTCCTACCTCAAAAAACGAAAAATTATATTTGTGTATTTTCATGATTCAAGGATCACGTGTTTGTACCATACACTGAAATCACTTGTTTAAAACCAAATATAACTCGAACTAGTGCTTGAGTAGAAGTCGGATACAGGACAAAATGTTCCGCCAAACAGGCCGGATGTGCTGAATGAAGAAACCTAGGCATGAGGCGTGAATGCGACCTTGGAACACTGTCTGTTTACTGATGACTCTAAACCGGTGATCAATCTCCTATAAGTGCAATATAAAATAACTCGTTTTCAGGGACACAGAGGAAAGTCTTGTGGTTCAATATTTTTAAAAGCGCTGAAAAGAACTGTATTCAATTGTACGGACACTCGTAAGTGCAAGAGTCTTTTTATGACGCAAGTAGGTTAACGATCATCGAAAAAAGGTTTGAATATTGTCATATTCAGTACAATTCAAATGTGAAAGCATATTTACTGTTTTAATACTCAAAACAAGAAATATAAAACTTTAATGAAAATGAATATTCATGATTAATCCTGTATTCCGTGTGAGTTATATTTCTTATATGTACTGTATTTAATTAATTGATGTTTGTAATTTCATTGTAACATAACCCATGTTAAAGTGCTTATTATTGTCGTTTGTAGGTATAAAGAATCTCTTCCTAGAAATGTCATTGTCCTCGAGTACCATTGTTTTGGCTAATTATTCTGTTGATAACATTGTATAAAATGTATTAGAATTTTCATTTTGTCGTCTTGTACGATTTTTATGACATCAAGCCAAATGACATTGCTTCGACTTAAATAATTTAATGTTTTGTCTCAAGTTTTTGTCAACTTACATATTGTTTCATTTCTGTAAATCACTGCAAACTATGAATCATTTCGTTGTATCCTTAACAAACCATTCGTTGTGCTATGCCAACTATTAATATTGTTCATGTTCATTCTGTTACTGGCATATTGTTTATGTAAACATTAACTCATTAATATTTACTATCAAATTATCACACGTTACTGGATATATACTTCTGTGTTTACTACATGTCAAAATAATATAAAAAAAAATCCCTGCGTACTTCCAGCTACGAATTATTTTAATGTCACTATACTCCATATACGTTCCTGAGCTAATTGCAAACATTCATTTTTTCATGGTTAATTGAATTATTTGTTCCATGTAAACTCTGAACAAAATCGTTGTTTCGCATTTGCAATTAAACAAATGGAGTCTATATATTGTCTTGAGGTTACCTTTCCTATATAAGGTATGGTCATACATCGTTCCAAGTTTTTTCCGAAACCACATGCACTTTTGAAAGCAATATGCGTGTAGGCCTTTACCCACTTCAGAGTAATTACCATTTCTTTTGTCACTTTCTAACAAGGGATTGGTATTACGCCATTATATAATCAAATAATGCAACTGTGTAAGCAATAATATTTGATTCTGATTTATTTTGATTTATTAAATCGATATAATTCAAAGTTCCACAAAGGCATATTTCCATTCCTTTGCAAAGCACATTTGGTTCATATATCCCTATAATGTCATTTCATTGCTTGTTCTTTGCCTTACCACTTCAGGGTGGTCTTTTGTTAAGGTCAAACTGTCAACGATTACATTTGAAATTATCTACCAATGATACTAATAATCATGGGATAGGAGGCATCAGACTGTTGAATTGTTTTCGTTTTGTCTCTGCTGTGTTATACGTATGTGTATGTTGATGGCTGAATTACTTATTTATCTACGTTATTTGTATTGTGTACTTAACTCGTGATAAGGATGATGTGTATGTACATATAATTTGTATCAATTAATTATATTTATTATCATTTACTACAGTATGGGTTACAGCAAATATCTTTATAAAAGAGTACAATATAATTGTTTGATATTAAATCTTAATACGCTATCTGCGTTGTAAGAATTTATTTGTTCATACCAAATGAATTAAAGGACCATTAAATCTATGTTTCGCCTTGTGTTGTTAATGACATTAGTTTCTGTAGTAAATGACATCGGCTTGTGTAATGAATGGTACCAGTTTGTGTGGTGAATAACACTCATTTGTGTAATGAATGACACCAGTTTGTGTGGTAAATGACATCAGTTTGTGTGGTGAATAACACACATTTGTGTGATGAATGACACCAGTTTGTATGGTAAATGACATCAGTTTGTGCTGTAAATTTCGCCAGTACGTACTATGGTCTATAAATTTGAATACAAACCATAACGCTAACTATTCTGATGGTTGGCCGTTGTTTTCTGTGTAAGGTTGCACCCTTGAACTTGTTTTATAATCTCAGTTTGATTCTAGGCATAACATATCAACTCCATATCAATACATGCTCATTTTCAGATTTTTTTTTTCATAAACTAAGAGAAATTGGATCTAAAATTCTACTAGTAATTACTATTACTTAAACATATACCACGTTCCCGTCAGGCGAAGAATTTGAATGGATATTTGAAAACGAAATCGAAAATACTTGTCTTTTGATCGGAGAAGATTTAGTTAATGATCAAGGAGGTGTTACATTTAAAGCTTATGTTTCTCAAATCTAAAACTAAGACACTTCTCAGCCCACTGTGATTTAAATACCGTTAATAAATGCGACAAATGATGTTTTATTGAGTTATTCAATGCTTCACCCAGTCAAATGTGACCGGATGTCAATACAAAGGAAAATATCATTTCATATGTGACAACCAAAACTTGAAATACGGACTTGTTAACAGAACGCTAGCCCAAACGGAAATTAGAACAAACTATGAAGAAACAAATATTACATTGAGACTACAGAGTACAAAAAGAGTAACCGCCTTCTGCTTCATTTACAACCACCGCCATTTAAGTATTGATCAATCTATATTAGTAATGGTTGAGATTAAGGTATGCATCAATGGTTATAAGAGATAAACTTACATCAAACACGCCCTACGTCATATCTCACAAAGAAATAGAATATTTCTCAATTAGATCACTATGGCAACAGCAAAGTTTCTCTATAACTTTCATCAATCTCCGTCTCTTGAAACTCTTTCAGTTTGTCTGTTGTCGACATCTTGCTTAAAAATCATAAACCCGGGAACAAGCCCGAGAATATCAAACCGCAAAGTGGTAACACCATAGATTGAAGATGTAGGGACGTTACTATCCAGAAATTAAGAAATGACAGGAAAAATTGAAATCATAACACCTGTTATACAGCTTGGATGTCCCTGTTAGTGCCGTTTTACGAAAAGATCGTGGAAAGTCTTTGGTGCCCTTGATTTCCATTTCCAGTGAATTAATCGATATACATCGTAAATACATCTCTTGTTATTCAAAATACAACAAGATTAAATACACCAAGAGATACAACTATACTTCGGCTGCCACAGAACATTAGAAACAAACCATCGCGAATCTCAAACATAAAACTGTCCTGATGAAATCATGAAAACATTTCTCAAACTCACCATCGAAGTTTATATTCAGTTTGTACGGAGGCGCTGACGAAAATTGTCCATACAGGCATAACACAAGAAATTTGACTTCATCGTATATTGAATATTGACATACAATCTTTCTGGTCTGTCTGGGGTCTCGAATCCAAGACAATTTTATAACGAATCCATAATCATCGCGACAACAAATATTTAATGTTATTAGTTTAGTTTTAAAAATATTTTATTCAAGATTCAACAATGAAACAGCATTGAAGCAATTGAAAAGTATTTAGAGGATTTTATCATAAGCTAAGATTATATAAAACCATCTCCTAATCAGATATTTGTGTAGAGTGGTCTTATCAGACTGAATGAGCACTGACCCCATGTTTATTAGGACATCAACCTACAATTATAATCAGCGAAATTACATATTCCGTTAAGTGTTACTGAAATTAAATACTTCATACTTCATCAAGTAAAGTGGGGTACATTGTAAATTCAGAAGTATGATCAAGTAAGTCTGGTACAGGTTTGTACATTGTAACAACATAGGAATGGACAGGTAAATCAAGTTAAAGTAAGAAACATAATCGTTACCGTCATTATTCATTATCGGAAACCCAGAGCAAAGTATCTTCCAATCGTGTAGACTTCTTGCCCACTGATACACGTATCACACTGTGTAATTGTTTCTGTAAACTGTGATTAAATGAACAGGTGACCTGCACCGAGAGTGCGATTAAATCAACATTCTACCTGCACTAACAGCGCGATTAAATTGACATGTTACCTGCACCGATATTACTAAGCGGGCTACCTGCACGGACAGTGCGACTAACTAGGCAGGCTACCTGCACGGACAGTGCGACTAACTAGGCAGGCTACCTGCACGGACAGTGCACCTAACTAGGCAGGCTACCTGCACGGACAGTGCACCTAACAAGGCAGGCTACCAGCATGGACAATGCGATTGAATCAAAAAGCAATCTACACCAAGAGTGCGATTAAATTATCAGGGTGCATGCGACAACACTGCGATTGAATTAACTGACTACCTGCACCGATAGTGCAATGAACTAAGTATTCTACCTGCACCGAGCGATAAAATTAACCTTCTAAATGCACTGACAGTGCGATTAAATCAACAGGCTTCCTCCATTGATGTGCATTTTTGGCAGTACTTGTTATAATCTGTAACTTTCCCTGCTTGTACAAAGTAAAGTGTCCGTATTAAAAGGTTTAAGTTACATCAAAGGCATATTAAGCGGTACTTATTATCAAAACAAAATTGAGCGTTGTGAATTAAACCAGATTTTTGTCTTCTTGTTATTTTGATGGTTTTTACGTCCATGCCAGACGGATGTATCACTTTCTCGTCGAAAAGCTTTCTCCGACGTCACTCGCGTATGTCATTACTTCTGGAAAGATACGGTATAATAATAGAGATTACTTATGTTTGGTTGCTATGGAAACAACACGATATAATGACAGAGATTACTTATGTTTGGTTGTTATGGAAATAATACAATATAATGACAGAGATAATTTATGTTTGGTTGTTATGGGAATAATACGGTATAATGACATGAAAACACGATTCTGATCTTATAAAGTATTACTCACTTCTTAAGCATTTCCAAGTCTTCACTCAAAACAACATTATGTTTCTGGACATAATTCCGATAAATTTAGAGATATGCAAACAGCATTTGATTTGGGACAGGGCATTGAATTTCAAATAACATGCAACAAGCAAGGGATCGCATTGATGTTACTATCTAAAATTAAACATTCGCAATAAAGAAGAACGTAATCCTTGCACATGGTTGGAATTTGATTCTTTAAGTTTGTCGAAGCAACTGACGCCAAGCGGTTGAAGTCCAGACCTTTCGGTATATGGTAGTATTATACGGTTCCATGTCAATATCTTTACGACGAAATCTGCACTAAAAAAATGAAATCTCTCATGTTCAGCAAAACCAGTGAGAAATGAGTCGAATATAACATGAAAATGCCAACATATCAACACAATCATAATCAAAATTCAAATATTAACAAAAGAAAAATTCACATGAAAAATACTGAAAAAAAAGCACAAGGAAAATAAGACCAGGTGTTTCGGAAGAGAAGCGTTTTCTGCTTCATTGACGACACCCGCCATGAAAACCTAATTCAATCCAAGTAAGTAATGTCATATTTTCAAATGAGAACAAGGTATACAACAACGAAACTAATAAGTAAACAACGATCATCAAATACGTCCAGCTTGATATCGCAGATAGAAATAGAATATTACTCGGTGAGATCACTTTACACACTAATTTACTATGAAATCAGTAAACAATACATACTAGTGAAGGTATCGCGATAATAATCTCGTATTCTGTATTCGACGGCATTGTAAATAGTTTTCTTTTAATCACTAAAATCAGGACGTCATCTATATCTCCTGATATTCTTAAGAGGGTGGTCGGGCGGCGCTTTGGTAAAGCACTCGCCTTTCACCTAGTCGTCCAGGGTTCGATTCCTGGAATGGACGTGGAAAGGTAGGAGTTCGCAAAAAGAAGGTTGGAACGTTCAGTGGAATATTGAGTATATTTGATTACGGGATACTTTTATTGATTTCAACAGCATTTTCATATTCATTTATATATCATACTATATTTATATCCATATCATATTCGACCGCAGGTATGTGCTCATGCTATATGTTGTAATATATAAATGTTTACTCTCTAAAATGGTTACAAACTAGAGTTGATGTTAAATTATAAAGATTGGTTCCACTGTTATGTATCGCTCTAAATCTTTCTTTTCAAAATATCGAAATCTTTGCTTTCTTCCGATTTTGCCGCCTTGTATAAGATTTTAATGAAATTTAATAAATACCAAGATATTGCCTTTTACATACATCATTCACGAAACAGTTTCACAAAATATAAATTACATGTACAATAAGCATTAGATGTATTATATATAGATTTAATACTGGAGATGATACATCTAATAAATTCAGATCATTTGTTATTGACAAAATGATATTTCATAATGTGGATCTATCTTATCACCGGCATAAGCTTCTGGTATGACATTAACTGGTGCAAGGGTTAAATATGTCCCGAGCATGAAGCTGGGAGCCACATACTTCTCTTAAAAATTGATCAAGTGCAAAACGTAGTAGTTATTAAAATAATCAATGTAAAAATTGATTTTATGAGAATCCCTAATCAGAAGTTGTTTTTTGACCGCTGGCTGGTGTGCAGAAAAGCCATAAAGCAACTTCTGTTGGACCAATAAAACACAGGACAAGCCCTGGAAGAACCTGCTATATCGCTATTGGACTTTGGATGTATACAAACGTGATTAAGGATTCACCTACATTTACATGCATATCACTGCAGCGGCGAGGGTTTTGTCAGTAGTCACAATGTTTTTACCCGTGTTGATTGTGTTTGATATTCTGTCTTTCGCGCTACCAGATAACGTAACATACAAGTCTCGACCAGACTGCCCTACAACAGTGTTAGATGCGACTATTATTACTAAATCCGTCGAAGTAAAGAGTATCATTGCATGTGCAAGGGAGTGCCAGAGAGACAAAATATGTTTGGCCTTTAACTTCCTTGAACCAAACATTTGTCAAATGAGTTCATCAGAACTGGACAACACATGTTCTAATGGCTATAATAATGTGCATGAAAAGTATTACCAGAGAGCGAATAATTCTGACAACGACCAAACTATGACGGTATGTATGTAATCAACATATTCCTGATATAATTTGTAACATAATTTTACTTTAGGCGTCAAAAATTCCAGTCAGCACACACTCAAATATTCCTTTCTTTAAAGGAAGAAAATATAGTTATTTATTATAGAAAATTAAGCAATATCTATGTACCGGTAGTCCTCTTTTCTACACTTTCTTGAGTCGACGTTTCTATACCAAAGAAAGAAAAGCGCTTTTGAATATAATAAAAGGAATCTGCTTGTTTTCTTTGACAGAAACTAAACTACAATGTACTTATTATAGTCACACAGATAGCGTAAAACGATATTTGAATTTTCAACGCTATATAAATACAATGTTTGCCGAACTTTAATAATCTGCGTCATTCAAACAATTTTTTAAAGATAAGTGGTAATCAGTAGAGATATACTACGGACCTACATGTAATTAGGGTCCGTCAGATTTTGATCGGAAACATTTCATTTAAGGTAATAATGTGTCTGAGATTTGTTTCAGTGAATAACAAACTAATATGGAAAAATAAAATGTTGAATAGGTGTAGGCTTGGTGGCATCGTTTTTTTTACCTTGTCCAAACTTGCAAACGTAACATTACTTACTCAGATTTTCAAAAATCAACATAGCAGGTGTTGACAATAAAGCAAAAGACGCTGGTCTTACCCTAATGTGTTTATCATACGTCTAATTACCTCAGTGTTAATCTTTCTTTGTAATTGTGCCCTCGTTCCATCGATTTTGAGTTTACAATAAAGGTTTTGTTTACTCTGACGTCCTTTCATTACACGGAAAGAATCTACTGAGTATTTCAGTGTTACTTACACTCGAGGTTACCAACACAAAGAACGTTATCAAATATGAAACCTTCTAAACCTTCTTACCAGTTTGAAACTTGCAAAAAAACCCTTTAAATATCCTGATAAGCTTGTGTGAACTATTTCCCGAAGCGTTAGGATTGGGTCTCCTGGAGAATAAGGTTAATTTTTGTCAAGATTTAGCATCGCCTTGATAATGCTCATGATTTTCGTTATTTCTTTCTGAGTAAGGATATCGAAATTTCTTGACCCCCTAGACGATGTTTAGGAAAAGCATTCAAAGATGAACTAAGGGAACATATGCCATAAGTATGTTATTGTATTTACAGACGACCACTGTACCGACCACATGCTTGCATGGGGGTAGCCTGGTAAACAGCACTTGTCAATGTGTCAACGGATATATCGGCTCTAAATGTGAACGTCTTATGGAAGGTATGCAAACTTTTTAGGTTTCTGACAAGTTCTTTAACATAACAAAATAAAGTTTCACACATGAACATAAAACATCGTATCTGTCACGGATGATTGTCTTTCCTGATTATTTCCATTTAATTTCAATGCTTATCTCTAGAAGTATGATAACTGTTACAACTCTGTATTTCAGTTATTTATGTCTTAGAAACGAGAAACGTTTTATAAACGTTTTCTCATGAAATGGAAACTTTTTTTCACTTTATCGATTTTCTTCGTCATTAATTTGAAGACAGATTTTTGCTATTGTTTTATTGAACCTGTCTTGCCTTTGGTGTGCCGCCTTTTAAGATTCAAACGCATTCTGCAATTCGGCCTACCTTAGGTTAATGATTAGAATGATATATTAATGTTTTATTAGAATGTAACACTTTGAAAGGTTCATGGGATTAATGTCAGTAGTTATGATAATGACTTATGTTCATTTCTGTCCATAAGTATTTTTTACATCAGAAGTCTAGTTTTTCTTATCTTGAAGCACTACTTATACTAAACAATTCTTGCATATTTTTGGTACATAAATAGATGTGCTTGCATGTTTTAAAAATTATAACATTATCATATGATGTTGATTTTGACATTAATACAGACGGAAAATATGTTTCTTTTTAGTGAATATTATGAGGCAACGATTTCTTATTAATTCAATTGGCATCATTGAGGGCTTGCTAAACTATCCGATATCCAAGACAGAAATTAAGTTGTGATATCAAATTATCTATATATTGTACATTTGGCAGTCAAGTATATATAACCACTTTTTAACTAATTCAGAATTAGAAAAGTGCAAGATGCTGAACTAAACTTAGTTACAAAGCCTTTTTTAGGACATGTCAGTGATAGTAAGGGACTAAACATCAAAAGTAAGAAGGCGACCGACTGATAAAAGTGATCGAAAGAAATGTTATAATGAAATGGAAAAAGGCACTAGCCCCGTAAATTCAATAAATTTGATGATTTTTATAAATCTTGTTAATTTAAGAATAATGTCAATCACTTTACATTTTGAAACGTTTCTGAATGAATTTTAACAATGCATTCCGGTTAATTCACACTCCGACATATTGTGACAGTGAAATTATGTGTTATACAGATTGTACAGAGGGTTATCCCTACTACCAAAGCCAGTTCGGTACATTCGATATACAGCCATCGCTTTCCCCAAGTCCTATCAAGACTTGTTGCTGGATGGATTACGACTTAAGGACTTATTATCAGTTACGTCATTACACCACAGGTATATCATTCAATAGGAACTGGACCTCGTATTCCAACGGCTTTGGGGATATCCAAAATATGGACTTTTGGTGGGGGAATCAGTATGCTTACTATCTAACCAACAGCAGACAGTACAATTTAGTTTTGCAAGTTTCTGGGGAAGACAATAATGATATAGGAAATATTGTTTATGAAAACTTTGTTGTTCAAAACGAGGCCAGCAATTACACTATGACTTACTCTTCAGTGTACATAATTCCGGTCAAGGATATGATCACGCTTGCAATGAATGACAGCATGGAATCTTCAAATGGGTCCTCATTTAGCACTTACGACCAGGATAATGATAATTCTGCCGGAAACTGCGCATCTACTCACGGGGCAGGTTGGTGGTTCAATAATTGCACCGACTGTAACCCTAACGGCCAGTTGTGGCCAGGAGGAAATTCAACCCGCGTTGGTGTCGAAAATGAATTCTTCTGGAACAATGGCCTGTCTGGATGGTCGGCTTGGGCAACAGCGCTTTGGTTTACTAGGTCAACATAGCCAATTGAAAGTTGTCAAAGAGTGCTGAAGAAACAGCTATTTTTGCTACTAAAGCTTGGTTTCAATGGACATTCTGGGAAAGTTATATATAGCAATTCGTCCTAATTCTGGTACTATTAGGCAAACGTATGATGCATTGAATGATGCATGAAAACGAACAAATAATCATATAATCTTATGTTATGCCGATTTTGGAATTTTCTGTTAAAGATCAATGATTGTAATTGGTATTGGTATTACATTTTAATCCTGATTATAAGTATTGCTTATCGATTATTGAGTATTCCTAAATTAGAAATAAATGTTCAGTTAAACCTGAGATTTTATTTTCAAGGACAAATTGCTATTTTAACGATAATAAAAGGTGCAAGTCAAGATGAAATATATTGTTGTCTTAGTTTTCTCTTCTCTTCCAGAAATAACAAACAAGACGGTACCATAGCTTATATTACTGCATCCAAATTAAGATTTTGAGATAACAGGAAAAAATACAAAACATGTATGTATCGATGACAACAGGATTTATTCCATGTTATCCGAGCTTTTAACATCAGTACTTATATTGTAGGTATATACAGTTAAATATGAAGTTGAATTAGAAATGTGATTTGAGATATTAAGTAAACAAATACTCTATTGCAAAACACCATGATGCAGAATAACTAATTCAACATTAAATCTATGCCCAGGAATACTTTGACTTACAGCACTGCTTATTGATGTACTGAAATATATATAAAGTAAATTACAAGAAAAGCAGGTAAAAGCCTTTTGTAGATAACTTTGATAAATATTCTTTCTTACTAACATTGTGAATTTAAGTAAATAGGGACATAGTGGTTTGTTTCGAATTTTTTATGTAATTTAGGCGATGTCTACAATTTCTCAAGTTTGCTAACGTTAAAAAGGACTTACTATAACATTGATTTCACAATAATTCAAGAGAAATTTTTTTGATTAACTTTTCATTAACACCTTTATTATAACCTTCAATAACACATTATTTCCTTTCCAGATCACGTAAGAGAAGTTGAACTAATATCAATGGCTATGTTTAGATTTTTATGACGATACGTGATTAATGATGATGTCATGAGATCTGGAAATCTCCATTTTACTTAACATATTACAACATAGTTGCAAAGTTAATCAGAACATTATCAAAATCATATGTACACTTTAATTTGTTTTACAAAAAGAGAGTATGCTAACTTTCTCTTCTATTTGTTTTGTTTATTTTTTGATGCTTAGCTTTGTAAATGTTTTTCACAGGTTGACTTTAAACCTACCGCACCCTGTATCCATTACCAATTTTCTTACAGGTGTAAATAAATCATTGATGATCATATGGAATGACTTCATTTTATATTGAAGTAATTTTAAACTGAAATAGCATCACCATTTCAAGGTGTAATAATTCTCTGCCATAAGTATATAGTGGTCTCGTGCACCCTTCACGACATTTATAACCTCCATGGGATGGTCGCATCGCTGTGTCCCTATATGAAGTATGATTTATAAACTTCATTTAAAACATGATGAACCATTTGTACTGTTATTTTAGAAGTCACCAGTCAAAAACCAAAACACAGAGGTAAATATAGCTTTAAATATTTTTACTTGATGAATGTTTACGAAATCTATTACATGCTATTGTTACAAAGACCCATATACAAATAATTGATTAAGCACAGTAAAACTAGACCTCTATAAATACCTCTTTGAAACTAACACAGGTAAACGAGGCTAGACTCTAAAGATCCTTATCACGGTACTATTGCACAATATGAAAATTCCAGATGCGCCCTCATTATGGTAATGTTTCCCGCGAATGAGGCAATTGGTGTATATGCTGGGATTTCCTGACAGTGGTCTAATACCTGGAGTTACATTATATGTATAACACAAAAAAAATCATGATACCTAGGTTATACAACTAATACATAATACAATACAAACAATATTACATTTTAATAAAATTTTTCATCTCTGCAACAAATATTTATTATTAGTCTATAATACGGTATGTGTGTATTATCTGAAATGGAAATGTTTATATTACATATATTTAGTCATTTTGTTATACAGAAAGTAGCTTGACATGTGTAATATGCAAATGCTAGAAACCCTATATGAAATATGTAGAAATGTGTGATACAAATACAAATCCATATTGTTAAAACCAAAGCTGCTATAACTATTCTACAAAAGGATATTTTCTACAATAAATGTTTATCGTACAACTAAAGTGCAAATTACGGTAATATATCAGACGTTCATCATCTGTTGTATAAGGTTTTCATCATTATTGCTCTTACGTTTTAACGTTGAACAAAGTACTCTAATAAAAATTTTTTTACGGAAGTCATAATATGAACTATCGTTTTCTCTTATAATTTCATTGTAAAAACGTATATTATTAGCTGGAATGGTGTGGGGACATTAATTTCTATCAGGAGGTCTTAGAACAACATTGCTGGCCTGTTATAACAAGGCATTGTCCTGTAGGTCGTTATTGTTTTCAAGACGATAATGCGCCCGTTCATAGTGTGAGGTCTATCCGGGAATATGTTGCTCGTAATGGAAACAACTGCATGAGTTGGCCCACACAGTCTCCAGATATACATAGATTTGGTTTTAAGTCGCAATAAAACTCCATCCCGCGTAAAATTTGTAAAATCGACAGAAGGCTTGTTCCGGGAGATACGAAAAAAAAAAAAAAAAAAAACCCCTATGATGATTACAGCTGCCTACATTCACAGCTTATATAATCTGGTTACGTGTTTTAACCGTGATAGGATTAAAGGGACAATACTCAAGGTAAGTGTGAATTTTGTTGCAATTGAGTTCTTAATTTTCACGCCGCCATTGTTACCGAATACGTTTGGCACGTCCCTGTAGTTCGTAGTTGTTAGTATAGCATGCTTGTGGGCAAGTAAGATATGAATAGAAGAAATATCCGAAAGTTATGCGATATACATGGGACAGTCACAATGAATATATTGATATAGTTGGAATAAAACACACATTTCATATATGTAGGACTTACAAGCTAGAATATTTATGAGATCCATCAGGCAATAGGGTCGAGTAGTTGTTCCAGCCGAGAAATGAAGTCTTGACAAAACTGAATTACAAATAAAATGTAGATATGATATTCACGTAACCTAGTAACTAATAACAACGGAATGGTCCGTTTTTGGTATTGGGTCAAAATGTTCGTTGTACTGGGTATTATTAGAATAGATATATGATCAATATATCAAACTGTTATAAAGAATCTCTGGAGATCATAAAAAGTTCATAACCATAACACGGAATAATGTTATTACGACATTAAAACTTACTAAGTAAACAATAATTAGAAATCTGTTTCATTTATTATTATAAAAGTTATTAGTCGTAAAGATGAAAGTGTTCGGATTACCAACAATATTCAGTAAATTCGTAAATTGTTATATGCATGTGCAGATGTAAATTGCTACTTCTGTAAAATCGAGATTCTGAAGCGAGACGACAACTGCGGCAAAGAAGGCACCAATAAACATAACTCACGTGTCAGTCTTTGTTCACTACCATGGCGACTATATCGTTATTTGAAAAGGCACAAAAATTGACATAAGATACCTGGTAACATTTCTTTTATCTTGTGTACTTCTTCGTTCTGATGCAATCGTCGTATGGAGCGCGTAAACGGTACAATATTATCATCATTAGGCCTAATTAACACCATTTTGAGTCCTAAAGTTATGTCGGCTGGAAATTTGTGATGACAACAAATGTTTTACAAGTAAATTCGTGAGATATTCTGCTTCAGCGGACCTAAAACTGGATATTGGTTTGACCACGGACAAGACTTATTTTTGTACTGCGTGTAAATTCGCTTCAAGTATATATATATATAATCGTGTTTTACTGTAACGACACTACAAGGAATCCATGAAAATTAACATTTACCATTTGGATAAAGGATATAAAATAATACAGATGTAGTGTATCTCTATTTCATTTCAATATTATAAAACTAGCTATATGTTTATTTTCTCCAACTGAAAACATTTAGAGAGAAACTTGTGACAAAAGTTTCCGTTTCGAGATTATTTTTCCGTTTTTTTCGCAAAAGCTTTCAAGTAAGATATATACTTTATATCCTTTGAGAAGAACGTTTGCAAATTTTTATAATTTCATTTAGCTCTGTATTTAGTTTGGAAGTGAACCCAACAATCATCAAAATGCGCTGTTGTTTCAATGATGAATGTAAAACAAAAGGTCAGTCACTGTTGAAAACGCCTGGTAATCGTCCAGTCGCTAGAAGTGATAACAGGACAAAACATTATATGCGATACTAACAGACAGAATAAGATACAAGTCGATTCAATCAATAAAATTAATCATAAATCTAAATATCTTAATAGGTTTTTCGAGTGCTGTTGTGGGAGTATATATTTTATTATTTTCCATTATGATTCAGAGATTTCTTTTTTTTATATTTATTTTATTTTTGCATTTTTTCATTGTATGTACACAAAGAAGTTCACACACACACGCCCTTACATACATACATACATATGTCCAACATGTATCATCATACACATTATCATCACACACATCATCATTAAACATGTATCATCATACACATCATCATCATACACATCATCATTAAACATGTATCATCATACACATCATCATCATACACATCATCATTAAACATGTACCATCATACACATCATCATTAAACATATATTCTCATACACATCATCATCATCATACACATCATCATTAACATGTATCGTCATACACATCATCATTAAACATGTATTATCATACACATCATCACCATACACATCACAATTAACGTGTATCATCATACATATCATCATCATACAACACATCACCATTAACATGTATCATCATACACATCATCCTCATACACATCATCATTAAACATGTATTATCATACACATCATCATTAAACATGCATGTATTATTATACACATCAT